AATTGTTGCCCCACCATAAACTGAGACCCTAAACCATAAACTGAAGAGCCTCCGGGGCTGAGATTTTGAGGTGGCCCTGCTGCTTCTCAGAGGGGAGCTGGGCATTTCTGTTTTATAGCCTTTTCTGCCACCTGGTCTGCCCCAGTGGGTCCTAAATCTATTCCGACGCCAGTGCCAGTGCCCAGAATGCTTTCTAACAGTGAGAGGCCAGCCCCAGGGGCCCGGGAGTGTGACGTTTTAAGAGCTATGAAGGGGACTGTGACGTGAAGCCAGACTGCACCTTCTCTGTGCTGCGGCCACTGTCGGCAGCCTTGCCGGCTCCTGAGGAGACTGGGAGGGTTAGGTCCGAGCGTGAGGCACATTCAGCCGAGGTCTGCTTCCAGGCGGGTGTCCTGGGCCTCTCTGATTTGTCTCTTGTGCAGAGGTTGCCTCTGAGACTCAAGCTGGGCACAGGTGGCTGTCGCAAGAACATGACTGTGGGGTGGGGGTCCGCCAGCTGGTAGAGCTTCTCCAGAACTTGCAAGTCTGCTTCGGGGATTGACTTGTGACAGGACACATAGGGGAGCTCAGCAGGGGAGGAGCCTTCCCTTGGCTGCTTCTATTGTTACCGTTGGTAATCGGCTCTCGTTTCTACTGCTACCTGCCAGCCACTTGGCACACATTCTTTGATCTCTGCATCAGGGCTGAGGGGAGGGTGTTGTTCGTGTGTAAAGTGAAGAAGCCGAGCTCCGTGGAGGCCTAGTCAGAGGCTGACACCTCAGATGCTTTCCGTCAGTAACCATGAGTTCGGGGCCCAGGATTAAGGCGACAGGACCTGGTGGGGGCTGGGGTGAGGAGGATGACACCTGCCCCACCAGCTCCTGTGGACATGTGGGACTGTCATCTAACAATTTTCCAAAAGTAAGTGGAAATAGAACATTCTTTTATCACGCTTTGTAAATGTTGGCAAATAATTCCTTAAGATGTTGAAAACCCAGTGCAGGTCAAGCAAGCATGTCTGAGCCAGGTTTGGCCCGTAAGGAACCAGTTTGTAACCCGAGGCTGAGGGATCTTTTATTCATTCTGCAGGTGTTGAGGGGCCTGCTGGAGGCTTCGGTGTAAAGGGGACAGACCCGGCGCAGGATTCCATTGGTCAGTGTCAACATTGTGTGGTCTGTACTCTTAGAGGGACACTTCCTTGAGGCGTCACAGAGGACTTTCTGGAGGAAGTGGAAGCCTGATGGATGTTGTATCAGCCCACACGGCTGCCATGACAAAGCACCGTTAACTGGGCGGTGCACAGCCACAGAAGTTTATCGGCTCGCAGTTCTGGAGGCCGGAAGTCCAAAGCCAAGGTGCTGGCAGGGCCCTGTGCTCCCTCTGCAGGCTCTGGGGGAAATCGGCTCCCTGCCTCCCTCCTGGCTTTTCGTGTTGCCGGCAATCCTGGTGTCTGCAGGTGCCGTGGACTGAGTGTGTCCCCTTAAGTACCTATGTTGGAACCCTAATTCCCAAGGCAATGGTATTTGGAGGTGGGGCTGTTGGGAGGCAATTAGGTTTAAATGGGGTTGTGGGGGCGGGGGGAGGGGTTGGCTCCTGATGGGATTGGTGAGTGTATAGGAGGCGGCCAGGGAGAGCTCCGCGCTCTTCCCTGCCTGTCCAGGGAGGACACAGGGAAAAGATGGCCATCTGCGAACTAGGAAACAGGTCCTCACCAGACACCAGAACTGCCAGTGCCTTGAGGACTTCCCAGCCTCCAGAACTGTGAGAAGTGAGTGTTGCTGAAGCCACCCAGTCTGTGGTAATCTGTAATAACAGCCCGATTCGACTCGGGCGCTGGGGCTGTGGGTGCTTCACTCCAGTTTCTGCCTCCGTTATCATGTGGCATTTTCCTTGTGTGCACAAGGCTCTGGGTGTCTTCTTAGTCTAAGGGCCCACCCTACTCCAGAGTCACCTCATCTTGATTATATCTGCAAAGACCCTGTTGCCAAGTAAGGTCATATGCACAGGTACCAGCAGTTAGGACTTGAACATATTTTTTGGGGGGAGGACACAATTCAACCCACAACAGATACGTAGAGTAGGCAGATGAAATGTGGGAAGGAGTACCCCAGGCAGAGGGAACAGCCAATGAAAAGGCACCTCCAGAGGCAGAAGCGTGCAGTTGAGTTCCCGGAAATAAAAGGAACCAGCACAGCTGGAGTGAGGAGTGGGCATGAGGTGTGGCCAGGGTGGCTCAGGCCAGGCCTCGGGAGTCGTGTGTCTTGGTCCAGCTTGGCGAGGCTGCGGTTAGGGACAATCCCCCGTGCCCCGCCCACCCCATTTTAGCAGATTCCTTTCTCGCTCTTGTCAAGTGTGACACCTTCATAATGGAGGTGTCACATGATCTCCAGGGGAAGGCCCTGGGGGAGGCCCTGGCCTCTACTGCCCAGGCCTGGAAGTGACTCTTCCACTCACAGACTACACAGCAAGGGGGTCCAGGTGGCGGGGGGGATGGATTTCTGTGGCCCCCCAACTGTCTGTGTCACTGGTATTCAGGGTTAGGATTTCATTCTCAGAACAGTGGGAAGCCAGCCAGGGTTTTCACACACAGTGTGACAGTTTTAGAAAGTTTCCTCTGGCTGGAGCCAGAGCCAGCCCTGAGGTGGGGGGGCCGGATCTCTTGGAGCCGAGTGGGAAGTGGCCCAGGTGGGAGTCGGCTGCCCCTGGCACAGCACATTTGCAGTTAACTCCTGCAGCTCCCACCTTGCAGGCTCAGACTAAAAAACGAAAGTGAGAAAAATTAATTCATGTAATTTTAAAAACTTTGAAAGCTCATTTTGTGCCTGCCTTCTTCATTCTAGGCTGATGGTTGTTCATGTTATTACATATTTATTGCCCGACAGCCTGAATCCTCAAAGCCGGGGGACTGTACTCTATACGCCCTGGGCCTCCTGAGGGATGTTCGGTGGTCACTGGGCTTCTGGCTGATTTGAGAACCCCATTGCCATGGAAGATGCCCTGTCCTCCATGTCTGTAGCTGGGGCCCGATAACAAGAGTGGAGATCCTTGTGTGAAAAGGCCTCTCTCGGGCTTCCAGCATCCCAGGGCCCTGCCTCTGTCAGAAATGCCCCTGGACGCAGTATAAAAGCATTCCGCGCTAAGCCTGACCCCCACCGGTCTGTAGTCCTTTGTAGTTTATACAGTATTTACTAAGCCATTGCTTCATTTGAGCTTCAGAATAATTAAATTGGACACAAGATCTAATTCAGACCAAGTTATTCAGGAGCTCGGAGACCCCTTGGCCTGCAGTAGCCACGAGCCCTGGAAACCATGTGGAGTTGGAAGTGCTGGCTTTGTGGCCATTTGTAGATGTGTGATTTCAGTATTCTCCTGTATAAATTATGGATAAGCACACACAAAATTATTTTGAAGCTCCAATCAAGCCATGTTGGTGAAAGCATTTTGCAAACTGTGAAACATGGTCTAAATGTTGTTATCCTGAGACTTGACATGGTGTTAAAAGCATTTCCCAAGTTGTGCTAAAGGAATCCATGTGGACAAGGACAGACTAAGTGAATTTGTGTCCCTAGTAGCTAAGCCCTGTGACTGCATTTAGACTATTTGACTTTGAACTTAGGTAATCACCTGAATTATCTTCATTGTGGGGAGTTTGTTCTGGATTTCACTGCAAGCCTTACTGGCCGATCAATACGACTAATGTTTTATGGATATATGTGAATTGCAGTTACGGAACCTAGCCTGACACGGTCCGGTGAGCCTTGGAGTGGAACCAGAGGGCGTTTGCACATATGGGGGTGGGTGCCCCAGCTCTAGTTGATCGATACCTTGGAGGAAGTGCAGTGCTGTGTGGCCAAATATGCAGATTTTCTGAAGTTGATTATTTTTTCCAAATGTAAAATTGTCACGTTTTTCATTCTCACGGCAACTCATTTGCTCGCTGGACACGGGAGTAAGCTTTGGTCCAAGGCTCTGGGCTTCAGTATTCTCATTTATAAATTGGTCATGGTACCTCTTTTCATAGGGCTGTTAGGAGACCAGATAAGAAAATAGACCACCTAGCCCACCACACTGGCTACAGGAATCCAGCGGGGAAACTGTCAGCTACTTGTGTCCTGTTGCCATTGGTAATCCCCAGGCTTCCGAGGCTGCGATCCAGGTTCATTTGGGATCCCTCACCCATATATGGAATCACAGGGTTATACAGGCCTTTCAAATTTGGTTGTCAAGGAGATAATGTTAAGGGGTTTTGTACATTAGAAAGAGACCCCCCACCCCATGACTTCCTGTTAGTGGTATATTTTTCTTAAAAATCATCATTTCAGCAAAATAAGTGAATTAACTTAAACGAAAAATTTTTTAAGTACTCGGAAGTACAAACGCGGTGCTAAGCGTCAAAGTGGTGTCCGGCGACCTAAGATCGGGGAACACCATGGTTCTACCGTTTCTCCCGCTACATCTTGGTCACCACGGTCGGCACCAGATCCCCGGAGGACTCCTCCCCCAGCCCGCTTCTTGCTACTGTGGGAGGCGGTAGAAAGGGCGCGAGAGCGGGCCTCCGAGGGGACCAAGGTCAAGGAGGAGGGCGGGCTGCGTCGCAGTCCCTCCGAGCTTGGCGAGGGCCCTGGGGGACCCTACGCGCCCAATCTCGGCCGCCCGGGTTCTGCCAGTTCCAGCCGAGCGGCCTTGGTTTGTGAGACTTATTCAAGCTCACTTTCTTTTCCTGGGAAACGAAATGGCCGAGGCCGTTAGTGCTGGTCTTGGGGGCGCTGGGACGAGAGACTGCGGCCTAACAAGGTAGAGGGTACGACTAGGGCCTCACGGCCTAGGACAAGACCATCTTCCAATCCGGCAACCCTCCGCAGGGCCCAGGCTCGCGCGGGTTCTAAAATGAGGACAAAGCCCGCCCGGATCTAGCGTTCGCGCGCCAACGTGGCCAATGGGGCGCCGGCTCAGGGTTGAGTGACGGGCAAGCGCAGCCAATGAGCATGCGTCTTGTTGCGAAGTGGACCCCGGCTCCGGCATTATAAAGAGCGCCACGAGTCGGTATTGTCAGGCGGCGGCGCTGCGCGGGCCCGAGCGAGTCTTTTGGTCGGTGGGTTCCGTGCAGCGGTGGTCGAGAAGGAGCGCGCGAGGTTGCGGCGGCTCCGTCGGCGGAGGGAGGGGAGGCCGGGCAGCGCGAGTTTGAGCGCGGCCGAGCCCGCGGCACCTTCCCGGCGGGTGGGGACGAACGGGCCTCGCGGCCTCACCGGCGGCGAGGTGAGCGGCCGGGCCCGCGGGCGGCGGGCGGCAGGCGGGAGCCGCTCGGGCCTGACGTGCTGTGGCCGGTCTTTGCAGGAGCCGCTGCGCCCCGGTCTAACATGTCGGAAGCGGGTGAGGAGCAGCTAATGGAGACGACGGGCGCCACCGAGAATGGGCACGAGGCCGCCCCCGAAGGCGAGTCGCCGGCTGGGCCTGGCACCGGGGCCGCGGCAGGCACTGGAGGCGGGAGCACGGCGCCCCCGGCCGTCAACCAGACCAGCGCCGAGGGCGACCAGATCAACGCCAGCAGAACCGAGGACGACGCGGGGTAGGTGCGGCCGCGGGCCGACGCCTTTGTTCCGGGGGCGCCTTTTGTTGGCGCCACGCGGCGGGGGGAGGGGCGGGCGGCCGGGGCCTGCTCGGGCCCGAGGACCAGTCCTCCGCGCCTGTCCGCTGCGCCGCCGCTCGCGCTCGAGTTTGCTGGAGTTTGTTCGGTCGACTTTGGCGCCGCCTCGGGGCCTCTTGCGCGGGACCAGGGACGGGCCGGCGCCCGGAAGGGGCGTGCGCTGGGACCCGCGGCCGAGCGGGTCTGGGCCGCGCGGGGCCTGCGTGGGCGGAGTTGGCGCGCGCCCGGGCCGCGTCCTCCCTCCGCCGCCTCCTGCCGGGGGCGGAGTTACGGTCCCGGCACCCGGAAGCCGCGAGTTCCTCAAGAGCGCGTTCGGAGGTGGTGAAGCCTGGCAGGGGCGGTAGTCTTTTGATACGTGGTGGTTAGATAAATTGCTTCCAGTAATGAGCGTTCAGAGCCTGTACCCCTGGCCAGGTTGTCTTTCCTTTCCCTTGCCCAGTCTGGGGTGCTGTCTCGTGAAGCTTGTTAGGGTCCAGGTTGAGATTGGGAGGATAGTGAACATAAAGGGGTAGATCTTTGTTCCAGAGGGTGGCTTTATTATAAACTTGTAAGCGAAATCTTTGCCAGGGCCTGCCCTCCTAACATGACAGCTTTCTTATAAGACTTGTTTCCACGTGTCTCACCCTACCATTTCAGAAAAATGTTCGTTGGTGGCCTGAGCTGGGATACCAGCAAAAACGACCTGAAGGATTATTTTTCCAAATTTGGAGAGGTCGTTGACTGTACAATAAAAATGGATCCCAATACTGGCCGGTCAAGAGGGTTTGGGTTTATTCTCTTCAAAGATGCAGCCAGTGTGGAGAAGGTAAGCTGGGTACCTCATACCAGTAGTGTGTTCCAAGGAGGACACCATTCTTAGGGTGTGATTAGTTGGTGTGTTATGCACGTGGTTGAGCGTTTTGGAAAACGCAGAGAAAAGCAGCTTTGTGTTTTTGAAAAATTAAAAGTACAGATTAAGTGGGATAGTGAGTATGTGCTGGAGTGGTCCAGGGAGATGATAGTGGACCTTTATTGCCCTTTTTGTGCCTGTTCTGGACACTGCAAACATTTTACTGTGAGGACTAGAGAAAAGTCGAAGGTTGCTATGAGACAGGCATTATTTTATCTCTATTTTACAGAAAACAAATTAAAGTTCAGAAATTTAAGTAGAGTTCACACAGCTAGTTAGGTGGTGGAATAAGGATTCCAACCCCTGTGCTCTTAGTTACCGCCACTTTATTTTTAGAGATAGGCCTTAAACTGGGACTGCCTGGGCAGGAAGAAGGGTGTGTGGCATGGGGAAAGGCCGGGGGTGGGGGTGGGGTGGGGGGGTGAAGACTTGTTTACACGTTGCTGCTGTTTGTGGGCTGGGTTGGAGGTAGAGGTTGGAGGGGGTGAAACACGTTTTGTATACTTGTTTGGGGGGTTTTATAGCTCCAAGAGAAGGGTCATGCTACTGAGTTACAGTCCAGCTTCCTTGTATTGGAACCAGGTCCTAGATCAGAAGGAGCACAGGCTGGATGGTCGTGTCATTGACCCCAAAAAAGCCATGGCCATGAAGAAGGAACCCGTAAAGAAAATTTTTGTGGGGGGTCTGAATCCTGAAGCCACTGAGGAGGAAATCAGAGAGTACTTCGGGGAGTTTGGGGAGGTGAGTGCGTGGCCTGACTGCAGCCTCCCAGCACGGCCGCCTTGTCATTCTCTGGCCCTCATGGAACTTTCCCCTGCGGACCCCGGGGTTGGTGAGATACTGGTCCTGAGCTTTGTTTGTGTTTACAGATCGAGGCCATTGATCTCCCAATGGATCCAAAGTCGCACAAAAGACGGGGCTTTGTTTTCATCACCTTTAAAGAAGAGGAGGAACCTGTGAGGAAGGCTCTAGAGAAAAAGTTCCACACCATTGGTGCAAGTAAGGTAAGGTGTTGCCAGTTGTGTGTGTCGGGCCTCTTGCTGAGGGAAGGCTTGCCTCCAGGAGCTCCCCAGGGTAGCGGGACCTTAGTGTTTTCCTGCAGCATCTGCTGCCCTGATTGGGGGGCAGATGGTCCTGTCCTGCAAGGAGTTCCAGCCTTGTAGGACCAGCAGTAAAAACAGGCTGTGAGGAAGGCAGGAGAGGAAAGATAGCTTCTCTGTGACGGAGCAAGCATGCTGAGTAATCTTTCTTGATTCTTGATTTAAAGCTAGATGTCAAGGTGTTCTGGCTGTAGGATCTAAGGCCTGCAGTTCTTAGAAGATTCTAGAACTTTTGCCATTCACTGATTTCTTCCTTTGGTGGTGAAATCTTTCCTGCTATAGAAATTGCTGCAGAGCTTTTCTTCTGTCTTGTTGATGCCACACAACCAAATCTTTGTTCATCTCGATCCCCTTTGGACACTGGTTTAGTCAGCCCATACCAGCCCGATCCTTCTCAAAGAGCTCCCAAGGCCCTGGTCCACTTATATCCAGGGTCAGTTTTGCCTTCAAATGTGCGGAAGTGAGAAGCGCAACTGTTGCCCCTGAACTTTGCACTGGAGAGGGGGTAGTATTGCTTCAAGTATTCTCCGGGTGGCTTTTGGGAGGGTGTGGCTTACTGTGGGCAGGTAGGGTGGGGCTCCTGGAGACTTCAGCATTCTGGCTGGGAATTTGGAAAGACTGGAGTGGACTGTTAAACCTCTGTAAAATGAGATTGGCTCCTAGGGGCAGGTGGATAAAGACATCGCCTGTGAGTCGATAGCCCACTGGATAGTGACCCCGAGGCCTTTCTCTCTGTGCCATGAGAAAAGGGCAGTAGGAGCCTGTTGGGCAGCACCGGTCACACTGCTGACAGTGGGGCTTGAAACAGTGTGCTTGTGTGTTAATTCAGTCGGGTGGAAGACATTAGATTGCATCCCTGGGGGGAGGTGATTTGCCAGTTTTTTATAGAAGTATGCTTGTATGAGGACACCTTATGTAAAATGTTTTTTACTGGTCTTAGTTCAGGGTAGAATATGTGTTAGGGTACTTCCTTTAAAAAATACACTTCTGATTTTAGAGGGAGCACTGGAAGGTCCCTGAACCTCCCTCCACTCGATGTGGGCAGGGTTTTAAGCAAGGAAGAAATTGGCCCTGGGCCCTGAGGGGACAGAAGCTCTTGGCTCCTCCCCATAACAGACTGGTGGTTAGGGGAGGGATGGGGGTAGCTTGGTGGCCTCGGGCAAGCCCCACCCTCAGTCTCAGTGGCTTTCTTCTGTAAGTTGGAGGTCAGGGTCACCACTATACACTTGAGTGGGATGCTTCATTTTTTCTGTAAAAAAGTGAAATAAAATTAGAAAATCATTTTACTGTCTAAGGCCCCTCATCTGGGAAGTCTCTGATCCCCTTGCCTAGCAGGACAGGGTGGCACCAGACCTGACACTTGGTGTGTTTTGCTACACCAGCTGGGCGTTGGCCCAGCCATCCCTCTCCTTCCAGTAGTTAGACATGGAGCTGCCCGAGGGCTGTCACCCGCGGGCCTGGGTTGGTGTCCATCATCCCCAGTACAGTCCGGAGGGGGGAAAGGGGGAAGGTTTGAGCCGAGAGGCCCTGGTGTAATTCTTGGTCGGTCTAGGTTTTAGTTACGGTTTCCAGAGGTTCTAGCCCCAGTGTGGTTTCCCTTCCTAGTGTATTTTGTTATTGAGAAGATGAATCAGATCTGGCATCTGCATGTTTGTAAATGAAGGGCTTTGTGCACAATCCCTCTCCAGAACTTGTCCCAGTGGCCTGACTTCCTGTCCTCTTGGCTTTTAGTGTGAAATCAAGGTGGCTCTGCCCAGAAAGCTCTATCAACAGCAGCAAGGCACCGGCCGCGGTGGAAACCGCAGCCGAGCAAGCCGAAGCAGTGGTGGTGGCGGTGGAAGTGGAGGAGGTGAGTGGAGCCTGGATGCACATGGGTCTGGTTTCTCTGCCTGCATGGAGCTTCCAAGCCTGTCTTGGGGGCTCGCTCTGGCCTCTGGCGTGGCAGGGTGGGCAGGAACAGGAATGGGCGTCCAGGCTGTCCTGCTGCTGCTGGTTGGAGTGGAAGAGCCCGTATTTTCCGTGCAGCCTGGTGCCTCAGGGCAGCGGGGTCAGTTGCATCACACTCTGCGGGGTGAGGGGGGGGGCCTGATGGGCTCTGTGGCTGTCCTGAGTCTTGGTCCACCCATGGGCGGGTGGGCATAACGTAGGGCAGGGCTGTGCCAGGCGCTTTATCTCCTTTCTCACCCAGGCCCCTCTGACTCCAAAGCCTGAACTTTTAACGCCAAGCTGCCAGGGAGGGTGGGGGTGATCAGAAGGTGATTTGAGTGAGTTCCTGCTTCTTTGGCCCTGAGTGAAGTTAGTGTTCCGTTCTGTCCTGGCCTTCAGCTCTACAGTGTGGGTCTCAAGTGCTCAGGGCCCTGTATACCAGGACAGCAGCCCCTTGGCTTCTACCTACGAGCTGCCATAGTAACCCTGCCACCCACAGGGCAGGATTTCCTCCATCCTAGCTCCTGCGTGTGCTAAATGGTCCATGGGCCCCTGTGCCCTGCTCCCCCCACAGGTCAGAGTCAGAGTTGGAATCAGGGCTACGGCAACTACTGGAACCAGGGCTACGGCTACCAGCAGGGCTACGGGCCCGGCTATGGCGGCTACGACTACTCGCCCTATGGCTATTACGGCTACGGCCCCGGCTACGACTACAGTAAGTAGGAGAGGGAGGCCCCATCCAGTCACCCACCCGGGAGGCAGGACAGACAGTGCAGGGGCCAGTGGCAGCAGGGGCTTTTGGAGTCAGACGGGCTGGGCTTTGCGGCCTGCCCCAGGGGTGTTGGCTCTGGAGAGGATTTGAGCCAAGCGCCTGGCACAGGGGTGAACATTCAATAAATCTAGTTGCTATCATTGTTATTCTTGTCCCTAGGCCAGGGTAGTACGAATTACGGGAAGAGCCAGCGACGCGGTGGCCATCAGAATAACTACAAGCCATACTGAGGCTTCGGCAGGAGTGCCCGACTGACCGCACATGCTTTGTTTGGGTATTGAGTGAACACAAACAATTATGTACCAAATTTAACTTGGCATACTTTCTATGGCTTGTTCCATGTGCATCTTATTTAAAATTTCCCCCCTGGAAATCACTTTCCTGTTGACTATTTCCAGAGCTCTAGTTGTTTTAGGCAGCGTGTGATGTCTCAGAGACCAGAGCGGCTTTGTGGGCTGATTGTGTTACCGGGTTACCCAGAACCAGGTGGGAGGGTCTGTTTCCTGCTGCTGCTCTGCAGCGTGGACCTGTGGACCCTGGTTGTAAAGAGGTCTATCTTAGAAAACCAGTGTCACCTTTTTTCACCTTTTAATTTTATATTATTTGTGTCATACATTTCCTGTATTGGAAGTGTTAATTTTACTGTACTTTTTGGTACCTTTTGGGAATCTAATGTATTGTAAGGTATTTTACACGTGTCCTGATTTTGCCACGACCTGGATATTGAAGCTATCCAAGCTTTTGAAATAAAAATGTAAAAACCCCCAAGCCTGGGTGAGTGTGGGGTATGCTGTGAGAGGGGGCCGGGCCACGTGCTCTGGAGCTCTCTGAGCTCCGTTACCTTTCGGCATAGCCACAAGCTCTCCACAGCCTCGTGTAATTGCCTGTGAGGACTTCAGCTAAAGTTAGGAAATGTCTTAGAGGTTCAAAGCGGCTCTTCATGGAGGTGAGGATTGCGCAGCAGGGATGTCATTACCCCCAGGGCAGTGATTCTGAGGCACCTTGGAACACCTGTCTTAACTTAGCAGTGGAAATGGGGTTCTGTCTTCAACCAGGACCGTGAGCCTACACTCAAGGTACCCCCTCCTGGTTCGCAGCACCTCATGTCCGGTGGCAAGAGGCCGTGGGGGTTCCAGGTGAGCGGAGCCCAGTAAAGGGGGTTTGGCTTCCCCTCGCTCCTAAAAGGAACTAGTGGACGCTTGGCTTGCTGAGGAGCACAGGAGCCGCAGCCGATGCTCGGGAGCCCCGCCGTGGCCCACTCACCTAGAGGAGGACATGGCTCAGCAGGACTGTCACCGGGCCGGGACCTCAGCGTCTCACAGCTTCGCACTTTTTCTTCCATGTCTGAAAGAGACCCCCGAGCCACCCAAAGTGGTTAGCTCTTCTGCTGAAGGCCCCTGCCGCCTTCAGCGTCCCAAGCTTCTTGGATGGCAGTGTGGAGGTTGGGCCCACCAAACAAGCCCCTGACCCCCACCCTTTTCCTGTGTGTCTGTGACAGCAGCTACACGGGTCAGCAACAGTTTCCCCAAAGGAGAGCACCAACCCTCATGTTTCCCGAGACTTCAGATTCAACTGGAGGCTACTCTGTATAGGAAACCTAAACTAGCCCTGTGCCTGACCTCACCCGGGTGTTGCACCACTTCCGGTTGTATCCAGTAGAGGTTGGCCCTTAGCTCCAGAGCCCTGGGGACAGCAGTGGAACAGCCCAGAGACGGAGGGCAGAGGGGCTGCTCCGATCTCCAGAAGGGACGTTGCCTGATTTGGGCTGCCCCTCAGGACATGGCATGCACAGCCTCAGTTCGTGGACATGTCTGATTTGTTAGAGGTTTCCTTGTAAGGATTTCTGGGAGCCTGAGTTGACCTTGATGTTCCTAGGTGGTTGGGAATGCGGGGAGGAACTTTGTGTTCAACCTGTGCACGTTTCAGCCACCGTAGCTGATGGTGAGACCTTTAGCTCAACTAAAGCATAAAGCCTCTGCTATCTATGTTTTGCAGTGGCTTTTAGGCCACTTGAGCAAGGTGTAGTCCTGATGGCTGGGCTGATGAGCTGAGCCTTGGTTTCCATTGTCTTGCATCCCACTCAGGAGCCAGCTGGGGGAGGGGTGCTGGCCCAGCTCCCACCTGCCCAGGACTGGGAAAAGCCCCTCCAGGCACAGGCAGGACTGGGCCAACAGGGCGTCTCCACTTCAGCCCCTTGCTCTGCACTGTCTGTGGGACACCTGGCCCAGCCACGGAGCCCCTCCCTGGTCATGCTGGAAGGTTCTAGTTGCTGGCTTCAGGGTGGGATCTACAGACGTCATCCGCTGTCCCTTGGGCTTCAGGCTCACCTGTTAGGATGGCATCCAGCTTTGCCACCACGTGCTGTACGTTGTCCAGGCTGAAGCACATTGGGGGCTTAAACTTCAGGACGTTCCTCCCTGGGCCATCTGTGCTCAGCAAGATGTAGTTCTCCTTCAGCCTAAGGACGACACAGCAGGGCCCTTCACGCGGCCTTCAGGGCCTTGCTCAGCCTGGCTTTGGCTCCTGGCCAAGACTCCAGCCACACTACTCTTGGCTCTCCCTCTACAGGCCAGGACAGGGCACTGGCTACCCTTCGCACAACTCACACCTGTCCACGGTGGCCTGGCATCACTGGCCTGCCTGGGGGCCCTGCACCTGACCCTGCTGCTCCCCAGAGCAGGGGCCTTGTCTCACCTATTCCTGGAGTCCCAGCCTCCTCTTAAGACCAGCCTAGTCCCAGGCACCATGTGGTTCTATTTCATGGATGGTTTATGCGACGTGCTGAGTTGACTTTGCAGGTGCAGAAAATGCCCAGCATTGCAGAGCAGCATAAGGAACCCCGTGTGCCCCGCCCCAGCTTCAGGAACTCCCTGCCCTGCGCATAGGCCGTTGTGCGGTCCCCGACGGCACTGGTGGCTCTCATTTTCAATGAATGTCCTCCCCGACCTCATGGGTGCCTAGGACTCGCTTTCAGTATTCCACATTTAATACTTTCAACTTGGGGTGGGGGTGGATTTTGGCCACTGAGATAAGGAGCCTGACGTGATTGTATTTACACTTGACCCCCTGCCCCCCCCCCCCCCTTTTTAAGTTCTGTTATTTTGAACCATGGGGTCCTCTGTCTTAACGCTTTCTCCTATCCGGTGCTTCCTGGTGCTGACTGGCAGTGCCAGAATGAGTAAGGTCTGGAGTTCGAATCCAGCTCTGCCACCCACAAGCAGGGTGAGTTCAGGCAAACACCTGTCACTGGCCCCAGCTTCGTCACTGAACTGGAGAAGCCACCAGGGCGGCTGTGAGAGGTCGGGCTGGGCCTTGGAGCTGACTCCCCACTTGCTGGATTCCCGAGTGGGGGGGAGGGGGGACAGGGGGGGGGTGAGTAGGCAGATGGTCTGACCAGCAGAGAGAGGCAGAGACTGGATGGTCGCTTAGGAGGGGTGAGTCCAAAAACTACATGGAAGGGAAGAGTTTCTTCATTATTTTGTATTATTTATATAAATATCAAACAATGATACATATTTTCCAAGAGGTTCCTGAGGTGGGGGAAGGGGGTAGGAATGAGAAATGGAGATAAAAGGGAATAACAAGGGGAAGGAAGGGTCCTGAGGCTGGAGTCCTGCTTGGGTTCAGGTGGAAGAAATGTGAACTGGGGTGGGAGGCTTCTGAGTCTGGAGATGCTGCTCCAGCCAGACACCCCCCAGCCAGACGGGCAGGGCCCTGTCTGTCCCCGGTCCCTGTGTAGCCCTGGAGAAGCTGCCTCCCTCGGGCAGCCCTGGTGCCTTGGCAGAGGCGGTGCTCGGGCTGGCAGTGGCCCACGCCCACCTGAAACCTTGGCTGCCAGGCCCGGGGCGCAGACAGCTGACCGGGCCGCTTTCTCTATCTGCAGACCTCAGTCACGGGGATGCATGGATTGGCCTCCCCTCCCCCCCTCAGAGGTCCAGAGTGCCCTGGAACACCCTGGATGGAAGGAGAGGCAAGAGGGAGGCTCCTTTGTCGGTCAGGGCCCTACACACTGCAAAAAGGCAACTTGTTTGAAGAAAAAGTACCTGGACACCAAGTAGTCGGCCTCTTTGGTGGCTGGTGTCCTTGTGGCCTCATCTTTGATCAAATCCACACCAATGAAGAGCCCGACGCCCCTGGAGCAGAAGGTGACATCTCAGGAGGCCAGGCCTGAGGGGACCGTGGGCCTTGCTGTTGCCCTGGGTTCAGCCAAGCCCCATCAGAAAGTCCACCGGGGCTTGCACCTCTGCGTCCTGGGGAGGCAGGGCCACAGGAACTGGTGTGGGGGGTGTGTGTGACAATTCCAAGAAGTAACTGCAGTGGGGAGGGGCCCTCGCTGTGGACAGCAGAGGCAGGGGCCAGAGCTACTTGACCCTGGCTGTTTTCCCCTCCCAAGAATGCCATCTCGGGCAGCAGCCACTGAGTGCTTCAGGTCTGCGCTGTGGAGCGGAGGGGGCGCCCGCCGTCCCAGGTGGCTGGGAGGAGCGGGGAGGGGCGCCTCCAGGTCTCTGGCAGACGCTGGGTTAGTGGGTTGTGACTGCGGCCCCGGGCCTCACCTGATGTCCCCGATGATGGGGTGTTTGGCTTTTTGCTGCCCGAGGAGCTCCATGAGGAAGCTGCCCACACGGGCGGCGTGAGCCTGCAGCTGCTCCTTCTCCAAGACGTCCAGGACGGCCAGCCCCACGGCGCAGGACACCGGGCTGCCCCCGAACTGAGCGAGGGGACAAAGGGCATGTTAGGCATCCAGCAGGGCGGTGACAGCCAGGGAGGATGAGGGCAACAGAGCTGCCCCCACACACTCCAGGGAAAGTGAGGCGAGCACAAGCTTGGACCCCTCAGGAGTCTGCTGAGCAGGAAGGGGGTTCTCCTGGGGGCCGTCCCACCTCTCCAGGTGCTCATGTGACCGTGACCCAGGTCAGGCACTCCCAGGGGTGCAGCAGGTGCGTGGGAGCCCTGAGAAGATGCAGAGTCAGAGGAAACACGGCGCACTGTACGTTCCCACAGAGCTGGTTTTGGCCTAGAGGCATTGGGTTCCCTGTCACCGGCTGGGCCCGGACCCACAGCATGGGACTCGTGCCTGTCACTTCTGAGGGCCAAGCGCAGCATGCCAGAGCCATGCCTGGGAAGCCTGTCTGTGGTATGAGCCCATGGGGCTGGTGATGAACCCAGGAGAGGCTGTGGGCACAGGCTACAGTGTGAGCCACACACAGCCTGAGGATCCATTTTGTTTCGCTTTGTGTGGCATTGTTGAGTTTTGAATAGGGTGTGAATGTTTTAAAATAAGAGACTTAACATAAAAATAATGTTTGACTTACACCTGGCCTCCCCGGCTACCCTGGTGTTCGCTGTCCCTTCAGGCACCCTGGGTACTTAGGTGACCCTCTTCCATCTGGCCCTGCTGGTGGTCTGAGTGGGGACACGCGTTGGCGAGAGCCAGGAACAAGTGCTTTTCCTGCTGCCCATGTTTTCTCTCTGTTTTTGTTGGACCACTTTTCCCCCGCCTTAAATTAAACTTTATTGAGGTGTAGTTTATATACAATAAACTACATATATTTAAAGTGCGTACAGTCATCCACCACTTAAGAACAGGGATACGATCTCAGAAATGTGTCCTTAGGGGATGTTGTCATTACGTGAAGGTCATAGAATGCACTTAATACAGACATGTACATGGTATTTCATCTAGTTCTGTAGGGAGGGGAAAATAATTGGTTGAAACATTCCTATAATAAAGGACATTAACAGGAACAAACAAAAGTTGAATAACACGTACACCTCCTGTATACATAGGAGAGACCAAGAAAAACTTAGTAAGTCACCAAAATGGCGGAAGGCCACCACCTTCAATACCATCTCCAGCTGAAGATAAAAATGATGCTGCTGGGGGTGGGGAGCCGGGGAAGGGGGGGACCAGGGAGAGCCCAGTAAACCAGGGGCAGGCTGCTGTGCAGGTCTAAGAGCTTTCCTTCTGCACTGACAGGATTTCACTAGTAAGAGTTTCTAGAGATACGGTCACCCCTTCTTGGTACAGAGGGAAAGACACCCTTAGAAGTGGAGATTTCCCTTATAAACATAGCTTACAAATGGGCCACTCCTATTTGCTTTTTCAGAGCTTTTCCTAAACCTGTTTTTTAAAATTAAGCAGCCTGCAATCCTTATGCCAAAGAGATGCATTTGGGGGTGGCGTTCCGTCCCCCCGCGCTGCTGAGCTGGCTGCTGGGCAGCTGTCGCGCAGCTGTAAGGGCCTGTGGCAGGTGTGTGGGGCCGCTGGGACGTCACTGGGTGGTGGGCACTTACCAGCGCCATCTTAATCTTACGGGGCCGCCATCCTACAGGCTGCAGGCGAAAACGGGTCCTGGGGCAGGTCGCCTCACAGGCAGATCTGACGGAAAATTCCTCACTGGGCAGGTCATGCCCCAGGCCTGGGAACTACTACTACTATTTTTTTTTTAAGGCGTTTAAGTTCTTTATCTTTGCTTTAAGCCAACCCTGTGCATTGTTTCTGTGCATCCAGGTTAATTCGCTCTTGAAAGAGACTGCTCTCAAGAAAGCACACAACCTTGTTAACTCTCCTGTAATCCAGTCCCCACCTTACTTCCTCCCACCTTCCTGAAATCTCCCTTAGTTCCCTCCTTAATTCCAAAGACATAAAAGAAGATACAAAATGCTATTCTTAGAAGCATTTTTCTGTTGCAGTCTTGCTTCCAGGTGTATCCTATGTTTGGCTCAAATAATTTTTTCCCCTTATTTTAATTTTTTACTTCTCAATTACAGTTGACATTAAATGTTACCTCGTTTCAGGTGTACAGCACAGTGGTTAGACGTAGTTTTGGCTCAAATAATTTTTTATAAAAATTCAAAATTCCCTACAGGTTCTTAGGTCAACGATGTGGCCTGCTGACCAAAACAGTACGTGGTACAGGCCTGTAGTTCAGTGTGACCTGACAAGTGTGTAAAACTGTAGAACCTCTACAGTTAGAGGACACAAAACATCTCCGTCACTCCCCGGAGTCCCTGTGCTCCCCTCCGCCAGTGGCCCCGGCAGGCACTGACCTGCTTCCCGTCAGTGCGGTTCTGCCTTCTCCAGAATGTCGTATGAATGGAATCACAGAATGCGGACCCCTCTGGGCCTCACTTCTGCTCAACAGGCTTTTGAAATTTATCCATATTGTGTGTATGAGCATTTTATCGTTGCATAGTATCCACTGGGTGGACATACCACCGTTTGTTGATCCAGTCTCCTGTTGACGAACCCTTGGGTTATTTTGATTTTTGGCTATTAAGAATAAAACTTATTTATAACAAGTCTGTAAATGTATGTTCTCATTTCTCTTGGGTAAATGCCTAGGAGTGGAACTGCTGGATTATATGATGCATGTATATCTAATTTCTAAAAACTCTGAAACTTTTCCAAAGTAGTGGTACCATTAGTTTCTCACCATTAGTCTTTGAAATTCCAGTAGTTCCACATCCTTAAAAACACTGGAATTGTCAGCCTCTCTAACTTTAGCCATTCTAATGGGTGTGTAGTGGTGTTGTGAAGAACATCTCGGAAATTTGTGTGCAGAGCCCCATACTTGACGTCAAAAAAGCTATCTAGGTGATTCTGCATGAGGCAGCTTTATTGTATGTCCCAAAACAAACTGTGGGTGGAACGGACAGAGGATGCATTGAGGCTACTTATTGTATATTCCTAATCGTGGGCTCGCTAAAGGGTAGAGCATCTTTGGTTTAGAATCATGACCTGGCCAAGATGCTCATCTAGCACAGCAGATAGGTCTTTCCCCCAGTACTGCCCCAGAAGGACAACAGAAGGAAACGGACAAAAGCTTTGACACAGTCCTGGAACTCCAGAAGGCTGTGCACGTGCATACGGATTATGCTCAATGCTAAATTCATGTTCAGGAGAGACCTGCAGAGCTCTAAGCTATCATCACTGGCTACCTTGAGGCTCTGAAGAAAGAGGAAGTAAAGGCTAAGACAGGGCTGTAAAGTGCGTGGCTGAGTGTTGAAGCACAGCCTGCCACACACGCCCCAACACGTCAACCCCTGTCTGAGGCTGAGAGCCCTCGTGGTCCCAGGCACCTCAGGAGATGCCTGCCCAGCCAGTAGATGATCACTCAGCTCACCAAGAAGAGACTCCTGTGCCTGCGCATGACAAAGAACACGGACTTGACAGAATTAGTTCATAAAAGGCACTATCGAAAGAACAAAAAGCAACAAACCATGAAGGGGGGGGAAATGATTTCCTGAGTGGCCACATTGTATTATTTACAATGTCCAGTTTTCAACAAAAAACTGAAACACGCAAACCAAACCATGAGGAAGGAAAATTATTTCCAAAATTGCCACATAGTATTTAAAATGTCCAGTTTTCTAAAATAAAACTGAAACATGCAAAGTGTTGACATAAAGTGTCCAAACTGGTAGAGAATTTTTATAGGAATTTATTTGAGCCAAAACTGACAAGAGTTGACAGGGAGCAAGATCTCAGTTTCGTAGTTTGTTTTCCCCCCTGGAGAGGCGAACGCAGTCCCCCACGACCACACACGCATCGAGTTCGCCACCTCTGGGCCGGGCGCTGGGGGAGGGGGGGGCACCCGCGCCGTGCAGGGCGAGCCTCGCCTGGGAGCCTCGCCAGGAGCTCCGCCCTCGCCGTCATGGTGTCTCCCCTGCCAGGTGGGTACTGCTGTTTCTCTTACGCATTTGAAATTAGGGAGGGAACGTAAGAAAGACTACGTGAAGGTGGGAGAAAGCAAGGTGGGGCCTGGATTACAGGGCAGATTATATGCTCTCTTGAGGGTGGTCGAGGGGTGTTGCTTCTGGCATTTCAAAGGTGCGCTAACCTAGATGCACAGCAGCAGCGCACAGGGCTGGCTTAGACCCTGCTAAAGAAGCTACAGGCTCCCCGAAAGTTACGAGCCTGGAGCATGACTACCCACTGTGAACTGCCCAGTTAGGGAATTATGATTTATTACAGTACCTTTTTTCATCCACAAAAAGAAAAAAGCTTGCCCCCTTTGGGTGGGCCGAGAGGGGAAGCAAACAATAGGAACTGTTCCCAGGAAGCCCAGATGTTGGCCTTACTAGACAAAGGCTGTAAGTGAGATGTTAAATGTTAAAAGAAATAAACCATATCCAAGGAACTAAAAACACTCCATGAAAATGATGTCTCACCAAGTACAGGATTATCAATAGACATAAGTTATAAAAACAAGAAGCAAAAAAATTCTGCAGTTGAAAAGCACAGTAACTGAAATGAGCAATTCAATAGGGAGGCCCAGCAGTGGATTTGGAGAGGCAGATGAAAGGGCCCGCAGACTCAGATACAGGTCAGTGGAGACTGTCAAGTCTGACAACTAGGAAGAAAAAAGAATGGGGGAAAAGAAAAAAGAACAGAGCCTCAGAGACCTATGAGACACAATTGAACTACCACCAGAGGCCCGTGGGAGTCTCAGAAGAGGAGAGGAGGAAGAATAAGAAATAGTGGTCAAAAACTTCCCAAATTTGATTAAGAAAAAATCCAGCAATAACCGACACATCCAAGGAGCTCAATGAACCCAAAGTAGAATAGAAGAATTATGTTCCATACTTAGGTGCAACATAACCAGACTATCAAAAGGCAAAGAGGGTGGGTAAAAGGGGCGAAGGTGGTCAAAAGGTACAAACTGGGTGCTGGCCTGCAAACAGAAAGGTCGCTGGTTTGATTCCCAGTTAGGGCACATGCCTGGGTTGCAGGCCAGGTCCCCACTTGGGGGTGCAAGAGGCAACTGATCAATGTATCTCTTGCACATCGAGGTTTCTTTCCCTATTTCTCCCTCCCTTTCCTTCTCTAAAAGTAAATAAAAAATTTAAAAAACAAGTCAATAAAATACTGTACATTGCGGTGACTATAGTTAGTACTACATTGCATATTTTAAAGTTGCTAAGAGTGGAACTTAAAAAGTTCTCATCACGAAAAAATATTGCAACTACATGTGGTGATGAGTGTTAACTAGACTTACTGTGGTGATCATTTCACAATAGGGGGTTAAGGACGCTGACCACCCAGACATTTGGAAATTCATGTATAACTTGGCCTCGCACATATGTGAATTTCCAGCCGTGGATCTAAGATACAGTTGATCCTTGAAAGTGAATTTGAACTGTGTGGGTCCACTTATGCAATCTGTGTATGTACAGCTGAACTGTTTATACAGTTACTGAATTGTTATGTTGTATATCTAAAACTAATATAATCTGTATGTCAACTATATTGCAAAAAAAGAAAAAGAATATTGAAATCAGCAAGAAAGAAGTTAACTCATCACATTAGTCAGCAGGCTGTGGGGTGACATAGTCAAAATGATGAAAGAAGAAGATTGATGATCAAGAGTTCTACATAAAGTAGCTCTGGCTGGACTGGCTCAGTGGATTGCGCACCGGCCCGCAAGTGGAAAGGTCACTGGTTCGATTCCCAGTTGGCACACACCTGGGTTGCAGGCCAGGTCCCTGGTTGGGGGCGTGCGAGAGGCAACCGACTGATGTTTCTCTCACACACTGGTGTTTCTCTCCCTCCCTCTGTCCCTCCCTCCCCTCTCTCTGAAAACAAAGTCTTAAAAAAAATTCTACATAAAGCAACACTATCTTCCACACAGAAAGAAAAAAAAAAAATCCTTTAAAAATGAAGGAGAAACTATTAACAGCACCAGATGTTAAAAAATTGTCAGTAGCAGATCTACTTCACAAGAAATAATGGTAGTTTCTTATGCTGAAATGAAAGAATATCAGACAGTAACTTGAATCCACATGAAGAATAAAGAGCACTGGTAAAGACGCAGAAAGGTTGAAAGCGAAGGTCGGGGGGAGGTTCACCATGCATACAGTGACCGAAAGGGCTGGTGTGGCTGTACTAGTATCAGACACAGAAGACTTGAAGATTTAAATTGTCAATAGCTGCAAATCAATGGGGAGACGGCACTTTGTAAAGTATGTGATTACCTAATCCATATGCTGTATACCTGAAACGAATACAAAATAATATTGACTGTATATAGTATGCCTAAATAAAAAATTGTTACCAGCAATATAAGCACTTTACAATGATAAGAGTCAATCTATCAAAAGGATATAACCATTGCTAACACATATGCATTTAACAACAGCACCCCAAAATACATAAAGCAAAAACTGATAGACTAGAAAGGAGAAATACACAATTCATCAATAGTTCAATCTCTCATTTTCGATAATAGAACAATTAGAAAATCAACAAGGAAACAGAAGACTTGAACAACACTGTAAATCAACTAGACCTGCCCTAGGTGGTGTGGCTCAATGTTGAGCGCCAGTCTGCAAACCAAAGGGTCGCAGGTTCAATTCCCAGTCAGGGCACATGCCTGGGTTGCAGGCCAGGTCCCCAGCAAGGGTGCGAGAGATGCAACCACACATTGATGTTTCTCTCTCTCCCTTCCTCTCTCTAAAAATAAATAAATAAAATCTTTAAAAACAAAAACAACAAAACTAGACCTAACACAAAGACACAGAACACTCCATCCACTCTAAGAAAAGCCCCTGACACAAAACAAAACAATAAATACTCGTGCACAGGGAACATTCTCCAGGATAGACTATTTATTAGGCCATAATATATTTTAAAAGCTTGAGTTCATACGAAGTATTTTTTCTAACCACAGTGGAATGAAACTAGAAATAACAGAACACCCAAAAACTAAAAAATATGTGTAAATTACATAATGTATGCCTAATCAATGAGTCAAAGAAGTCATAAAATACCTAGAGATGAATGAAAATGAATACAATGTACCAAAACTTATGGATGCAATGAAAGTAGTGCTTACAGGAAAAGTTTTGTCTATAAACACCTATGTGAAAAAAGAAAAAAAAGGATCTCAGCCCTAGTTGACTGATTCAGTTGGTTGGAGCATCATCCCATACACCAACTGACTGAGGGTTTGATTCCTGGTCAGAGCACATACCTAGGTTGCGGGTACATATTGGAGGCAACTGATCAATGTTCCTCTCTCTTTCCCTCCCCCTGTCTCTCTTACTAAAAAAAACAAACAAAAACAACAACAAAAAAACAGCCCTCAAATGACTACTCTAACCTTCCACCTTAAGAAACTACAAAAAGCCCTGGCTGGATAGCTCGTTGGTTTGAGTGTTGTTCCTGATAGGCCGAAGTTGTGGGTTCGATCCCCAATCAAGGAACGTACAAGAATCAGCCACTGAGTGCATAAATAAGTGAAACAACAAATTTTTATCTCTCTCCCTCTTCCTCTCTCTCTAAAAACAGTCAATAAATAATAAAAGAAACCACAAAAAGAAGAGCAAACTAAACCCAAAACAAGCAGAAGGAAGAAAATCATAATGACTGAACTGGAAATAAATAGAAACAGAGAAAAACAATAGGAAAAAAATCAACAAAGCCAACTGAGTAGATCAATAAAATTGACAAACTTCAGCTAGGCTGACCAAGATCAAAAGAATACTCAAGTTAACAAAAATGAGGAATCAAAGAGGTCACATCACTATTAATCTTAAAGAAGTAAAAAGGATTGTAAGGGAATAATATGAACAACTTTATGCCAACAAGCTGGATAACTTGGATGAAATGGACAAATTCCTAGAAAGACAGAGAGATACTGACATTGGAAGCATATGAGATCTTGCTTCCTGGCATAGGCCGTCACTTTTGGCTCAAGTAAATTCATAAAAAAAAAAAAAATATTGACATTGACTCAAGAAGGAATAGAAAATCTGAATAGACCTATAGCAAGTAAGAACAATGAATAGTAATATTAAATTCCCACAAAGAAAAGCCTAGAACCAGATGACTTCACTGGTCAATTTTACCAAAACGTTTAAAAAATTACTACCAATCCTCAGAAAGCCTTCCAGAGAATAGAAGAGGCGTGAACACTTCCCAGCTCGTTCTCTGAGGCCAGTGTTATTCTGATACTAAACCCGGACAAAAGTATCACAAGAAAATACAGAAAAGTATCTCTTAAGAATATATATGCAAAAAAACCTCCACAACATACTAGCAAACATATAAAAAGGATTATGTACCATGATCAAATGGGATTTATCCTAGGGATGTAAAGTTGGTTCTATATATGAATATCAAATAACATAAGAAACCATACTATTGGGATTAGGGACAAAAAAAAAAATCACAGGATCATTTAAATAAATTCAGAAGAAGCATTTGACAAAATCCAATAGTCTTTTATGACAACAGCCCTGAACAAATTAGGAAAAGAAAGGAACTTCAACCTGAGAAAAGGCACCAATGAGCCCTGGCTGGTATGGCTCAGTGGACTGAGCGCTGGACCGCGAAGCTTAGGGTCGCTGGTTCGATTCCCAGTCAGGGCACATGCCAGTAGGGGGCGTACAAGAGGCATCCACATGTTGATGTTTCTCTCCCTCTCTTTCTCCCTCCCTTCCTGTCTCTTAAAAAAAAAAAAAAAAAAAGGCACCAATGAAAACCTCACAAATAATATCATACCTAATTGTGAAAGACAATGTTTTTCCCTAAGATTAGGAACAAAATGAGATGTCCACTCTTGACATTTCTATTTAACATTGTACTGGAGGTTCTAGGGTAATTAGACAAGGAAAAGAAATAAAAGGCATTCAAAATGGAAACAAAGAAAGTAAACTACCTCCATTCTCAGATAACATGATTTTGTACACAGAAAATTCTAACAAATCCATAAAAAACTCAGAGTTAATAAATGCATTCATCAAGCTTACACAATACAAGACCAATATCCAAAAATCAATTGTATTTCTATATACTAGCAATAAAGAATATGAAAATGAAATTAAGAAAACAATTCCATTTACAAAAACATGAACAAGAATAAAATAGGAATAAATTTTACAAAAGTAGATCAAGACTTACACAATGAAAACTATAAAACATCATTGAAAAAAATTAAAAAGACCTACATAAATGGACAGACATCACGTGCTCATGGATTAGAAGACAACATTGTTCGGCAACACTCTCCAGGCCTACGCAGGAGTCAGTGCGGTCCCTGCCGAAGTCCAGGCCGCCCTTTTGGAAGAACTGCCTACCTGATTCTGGAAATTCATATTGAAATGCAAAGGGCCCAGAACAGCCAAACAATCTCCCAACAGAAGAATGAAGACTGGAGAACCATTTCATGATTTCAAGACAGTACAAAGTAACGTAGTCTAGACTGTGAGCGCCTGGCAGCAGAACAGATAGAAAGATCAGTGGAATAGAACTGAAAGCCTAGGAGTAAAGCCATAAACCCATTTATAGCCAATGGATTCTTTAAAAAAAAAAAAATGTGGAACGCTTCACGAATGTGCACGTCATCCTTGCGCAGGGCCCACGCTAATGTCTGTATTGGTCCAGCTTTAGTGCACGTGCTGCCGCAGTGAGCGCTCAATCGATCCTTGACAAGGGTGCCCAGACAATTCGGTAACAACAGTCTTGTCAGCACACGGTGCTGGAACAACTGGGCAGCTACATGCAAGAGTCGTGTGTTACTCCTACTTCATAGCATGTGCAAAAACTCGCTCCAAATGGGTCAAAGACCTACGTGTAAGAGCTAAAACTATAAAACTCTTCAAAGAAAACAAAGGTGTAAATCTTTATGACCTTTGATTAGGCAACGGTTCGTTAGATATGACTTCAAAACACAAGCAACTAAAGAGAAAACAAATTGAACTCAATCCAAAACTAAATATTTCTGTGCTTCAAAGGACACTATCAAGGAAGTGAGAAGACAACTCAGATGAGAGAAAATATTTACAAGTGAATACGTCTGATAAGGATCTAGTATCCAGGATATAAAAAGAACTCTTAAAACTAAAAAAAAAAAAAAAATCCAGTTAAAAAACAGGCAAAGGATACAAGTGGACCTTTGCCAAAAAATATATATAAATCGTCAATAAGCACATGAAAAGATACAGCATCGTAGTCACTGGGGAAATGCCCATCACAACGGCACGCCGCTTCACACGAGAACGGCTACAATAAAAGACAGAAGATAACAAATGCTGACGAGGGTACGGAGCAACTCCCACGTTGCAAGTGCGCATGTGAACAGCTACAGCTGCTTGCTCGGAAAAAGTGTGTCGATCCTCAGAAAGTTAATACTAGCCCTGGCCGGTGTCACTCGGTCGGTTGGTGCATTGTCCTGTAAACCAAAGGGTCGTGGGTTTGATTCCTGGTACAGGCACCTGCCTACGGTGTGGGTTTGGTCCCTGGTTGGGGGCATAGGAGAGGCAACCGATCAATGGTTCTCTCCATCGATGTTTCTCTCTCACACCAATGTATCTCTCCTTCTCTCCCTCCCTCCCCTTCTCTCTAAAATCAATAAGCATGTCCTCAGGTGAGGATTTAAAAAAAAAAAGTTAATCCTAGAGTTGCCATATGATCTAGTAATTCCACTCATAGGTTTATACTCACTAGAACTGAAAATACATGTCCGTACAAAGACATGTACATGAATGTTCATTGCAGCATTATTCGTAATGGGCAAGACAGGGGGAAAATCCAAGTTTTCATTACCTAAAGAATGGATACATGAAATGTGGTATATTCATACAACGGATTCTTATTCACCCGTAAAAAGGAATGAAGTACTGATTCACACTATAAAATGAAAGAAACTTGAAAATATTATACTATGTGATAGAAGCCAGGCAAAGGGTCACACATTGGATGATTCCATTTATATGAAATGTCAAGAACTGGCAAATCCATGGAGACGGAAGGCAGGCCAGCGGTTGCCAGGACTGCAGAGCGAAGACGAGGGAGAGCGGCTGGTAATGGGACTGCCCTACAGGGCCATGAAAAGCTTCTGGAATTCGGATTGCGCTGAGGGCTGCGCAACGTGGGGAGTGCGCTAAACACCACTGAGTTGTACTCAAATTGGGAGCCCTGGGTTTGGATTTGAAAGAGTAAGCTTTAGGGTATGGGAATTATATCTCAACTAAGACAGAGTCAGTGACTCCAGCTTTTTCAACAGCGACACTGCATGCCAGATGAAAACAGAATATACCTGTCAAGTATTGAAGCAAAACAGCTAGGACCTAGGTTTTATGTTTAGATAAAGTATTTAAATATGAGGGTCTGATAAAAATATTCTTAGGCATACAAGACCTCAGAAGGTTTGCAACATTAAGCCTTGTGCTGAAAATAATTTGGGATGAAATATTTTTAATACAGATACTTAAATAAAGTAGGAAAGATGAGGGACTAAAAAATATAGTAACCTGAAGTTATGAATTAATATGTTAGCAATAGGCTTAAATATATCAATAGTTACGTTAAGTTTAAATTGTCTAAAATCATCACTTTAAAATCAAATATTAACAGATCTGGACAAAAAGCCAAATTTTAGACACATGTGGGTTAAAAGAAACACACCTGAAACGTGAGCACACACACGGTTGGAAGGAGAAGGGGGAACACACCTACTAGCCATAAGGAAGCTGTACTAGCTTTACAATATCAGGTAAAATAAAATTTAAGAACAAAATCATTATTAGGAATGGAAAATGATTAGTCCTTATGATAAAAGATGCAACACCTGGAAAACTGGACAGCCACATGCAAAAGAATGAAACAGGACCACCATACAGAAAAATCAGCTCAGATCGAACACTGGAATGTAAGGCCTGAATCGATAGAACTCCTACGGGAAAGCAGAGCCGGTAAGCTCCATGACATCAGTCTTGTCGATGGCTTTTTGGATTTGATATCAAAAGCAAAGGCAGCAAAGATACAAATAAACCAGTGGGACTATATCCAATTAAAAAGCTTCTGCACAGTAGCCCTGTCTGGTGTGGCTCAGGGGATTGAATGCTGGCTGGAGAACCAAAGGGTTTGCTGGTTCGATCGCCAGTCAGGGCACCTGCCTGGGTCGCAGGTCAGGTCCTGGGTAGGGGGCGTGCGAGAGGCAGCCACACATCGCTGTTTCTCTCCCTCTTTCTCCCTCCGTTCCCCTCTGTCTAGAAATAAATAAAATCTAAAAAAAAACCCCAAAAAACTTCTACACAATAAAGGAACCCATTAATAAAATGAAAAGGCAATCTGAAAAGGCAATCAACCAAATGGGAGAAAATATTTGCAAATCATTATTTGATAAGGAGATAATGTCTAAAATATATAAGGAATTCATACAACTCCATAGCAAAACCCCACACACAATATGGTTAAAAAATTGGCAAAATATCTGAATAGACACTTTGTCACAGAGGACATACAGACGGCCAACAGATACACAAAAAAGGTGCTCAGTATCACTAATCATCAGGGAAATGCAAATCAAAACCACAGTGAGATGTCACCTCACACCTGTTGGAATGGCTGTCATCAAAAGACAAGAAACAAGTGTTGGCAAGGATGTAGAGAGAAGGAAATTTTGTGCACAGTTGGTGGAAATATAAAGTTTCCACTATGGAAAACAGTATGGAAATTCCTCAGAAAATTAAAAATAGGGCTGTGATATGACCCAGCAATTCTACTTTTGGGTATTTATATGAAGGAAATGACAGCAGTATCTCAAAGAGATCCTTGCAACCCATGTTCATTGCAGCATTATTTACAATGGCCAAACCTGGAAGCAACCTAAGTGTCCATCAATGGACGGGTGGTATATATTTATATAAAAATATATAAATGTTATTCAGCCATAAAAAGAAGGGAATCATGCCATTTGCAACAACATACTCTCATACCTTGAGGGCATTATGCTAAGTGAATTAAGTCAGGGAAAGAAAAAGACCTTATGATTTTACTTACACGTGGAATCTAAACCCCCACCAAAACAAAAAAATCACAGTCTTAGACACAGAGAACAGATTGGTAGTTGCCAGAGGTGGGTGTGGGCAAAACGGGTGAAGACGGTCACCAGGTACAAACTTCCAGTGATAAAATCCTGGGGATACAAGGCACAGCATGGTGCCGATAGTTAACAATGCTGTGTTGTATTCCATTTTTTATTTATTGCTTTGAGAGAGAAAGAGAAAGAGGAAGTGGGGGAGAAAGAAATGAAAGCTCGATATGTTGTTTCACTGATCGATGCATCATTGGTTGCTTCCTGTATGTGCCTTGACTGGGGATTGAACCCACAACTTGGACATATCAGGATGATGCTCTAACCAACTTAGCTGGCCGACGAGGGCCTCCGTATTGTATTTTGAAAGTCTCTAAGAGATTAGATCTTAAAAGTGCATACAGGTATACATGCATACACATTCAGTTACACACACACACACACACGCACATATTCACAGACACACAAAACCCCCCAAAAAGAAAAGCACTTGTAACTCAATCAAAATGTGGGCAAAAGAAAAAACAGGCATTCCACAGGCGATGAAACAGGCATGGCCAGCGAACATATGAAGAGGGGGTTCATGTAGCTTGAAATCAATGTGGCATATTGAGAACGTTCCCTGATTGGAGGGGATGCACCTTTACACCCACCCCACTTGACTGGCACCGATTAAGAGTGTTGAAGAAGACGTTGACCTATAGAATCTCTTACACCTGCCGGTGGGGTGTTAACTTGTGCCCTCCTTTGGAAAACAGATGTCACTGCCTCAAAATGGGGGTGAACAAGGACCCAGCGATTCCGCTCTTAGGTTATCCTGAAAGAGCTCTTCCCTGTGTACAATGAAGACTTCTAAGAATGGTTCCTAGCAGCGCTGTTCTTAACAGCAATAACCATGGGAACAACTGCAAAGCACAGCAACAGGGGTGGAACTATAAACCGTGGTAGTTTATACAATGGGATATTATTACAAAGCGGTCAAAGCAAATGAACTTCAGTGACAAGCAACGTGGGTAACTCTTAGGAACACAATGTTAGGTACAACACCAACAAATCCCCAAAGGCTACAGACACAGAACGATACACTTCTTACAAAGTTAGAAAATGAGAGTAACTAATGAACGTGGGGTTCAGGGTGATGGCTACTGGGGCCGAGGGGAGCGGGGGTGGGGAGCAACCACGTGGAGTCAGATGCAGGTTACTGCCAAGGCCCTAACTCTCGTTTGGGAAGACAGCGCCTCTGATGCTTATATCAGTAATAGAGCGGATCAACCAAAAGAGGGCTATGCAGGAACAGATGGTGCGTCTTTCATGAACCATGGACTGACTACATCATCTGCGTGGGCTTCAGTAAGAGGGAAACAAAAGCCAGGCTCGGGCTCCGGCCAGCTGTCTCCCACCTAACACGAAACGCTCCTTCCTCCTCCTCGCAGGGCCGACGCCTCCTCATCCTCCCACGCGCACGAGAAGCCTCCCCTGCTCCTTTCCTCTGCCCTCCCGCCTGTGTCGCCGGTGCTCTCCTGGCACTGGGGACACACTACTTCCAAGTGATCAGCGGGCTGGGAGCCTGCCGCGCGCGCGCGCCGCCCCCCAGCAGCGCACGTGTTCAGGGCAGAGGCTCTGCCTGTGCGTCAGCCAGCGGGGCGCGGAGTGACAGTGTGTTGAGAGCCCAGCCTTCGCCCTTAACGACCTCTGCCAGATCTCGACCATCTTGCCACACCTTGACACGTTTCAGGCCCCAATTCAAACGGACTCTTCTGGGAGGTCACAGTGAGCTCTTCCCCGTGGCCCGTGCCGATGTGGGCTCCTCCTTTCTTGCCTGGACCCCTCGCTTACCTCCGGCCTCTGCGCGCGGTCTCAGAGGCCCGTCTAAGGTGAACTTCAGATCGCCCCTCTCCCTCACAGGGCCCTTGCAGGGCTCCTCGGTGTCCCGGAGATCCGCTCAGGCGCCGTGGCTCTCTACCAGGAGGCCGCCGGGTGGCCACGGTGCGGGCGCCTCCCCCACCACACCCACTTCCCCGAGGGAAAGCTCCCAGCCCTGCCCCGCGAGGCCAGGGAGCCGTGCAGCCTCCGGCTTCCGCTGCCGCGCGGGCTCTGACCCCAGGCCGCCGGCCACCCTGACAGGCGCCCCTCGTGTTCCTCACTCAGCTCTTACTGCAAGGCCTTGCACACAGTAGGCAGCTAGTGCGTGAAGGAAGGGGGCCCCTTGTTCTCCTTCTATATATGTCATAGGCGTGGTATTTTGCCACAGCTTTTGGACTGATACTAGATTTAAAGAGGGTTTGTGCTTTTCCCCTCTCATTTGCTGTGACCTCCCCGGGCCTCCACCCGCCCCAACAGCACCTCGGACGCCTTGGTGGTGGCACAGGGCCAGGCCTCTGGCCTCTGCTCACCAAGGGCAGCAGGTGGCTGGGGCCCCCAGACCCCCAGGCCTCCCCGCCGAGCCCCCACTCACCGTGTTGAAGTACTCGACACCGGTGGCTTCAAACGCCCTCGCCACAGCTTGGGTCGTGGCCACACAGGCCACAGGGTGGCCGTTGCCAATGGACTTGCCCATGGTGACAATGTCAGGGACAAAGTCTTCCCCCTGCAGCTGGAAGGCCCAGAAGTGCTTGCCTACTCGGCCAAAGCCCACTTGAATCTCGTCTGCGACAAAGACCCCTCCGGCCCCGCGGATGTACCTGCGGCAGAGGACAGACGGCTGATGGGCTGTGGGGGGAGGGATCAGGGCAGGAGTGGGGTGGCGGGGCGGACCCCTGGCTCTGCGGACAGCCAGGGCGAGGCCTTAGGCAGGTGGCTGGCCTTCTAGGGGCCAGTGTTTTTTCAGGGGCTTTGAAAAATCTGGCAAACAGGTGAGGCTGGGGTTGGACTGTGGAACAGAGGTGGGACGCCCGTTGCAGCCCGGGGCTCCCGGGGCAGCCCCTCCCACCGACTCACTTCGCCACTTCCGGGAAGTAGCCCGCAGGGGGAACGATCTGCCCTCCCACACTGGGCAGGGACTCGGCGAAGAAGGCAGCGATCTGCGGGCGACAGCGGCGGGGCACCCCGCCGTGGAGGTGCTGAGGCCACGCCGAGCCGCTCTGCCAAGGGCCGGCGCAGGGCGGCTCCGACCAGGGCGCGGGGCTGTCGTCTCTGCGTCCCCAGTTCGGACTCCGCATCACATCGGAGGGCCTGTGACTCAGTTTCCTTTCAGGCCTCGAGCCCACCCTCAGAACCTGGATGCCTCCAGACTCCTGCACCTGGCGAGCTCCAGACAAAGCCCACTCACTCTCCCCTCAAGCCTCTTCCTCCCCCTCCTCCGACCTAGGACGGAAACAGGCCCCCATCCCTGACCCAGCCCCTGCTCCCACCCACGGGGCCCCCTCCCCTCGCAGATCCGCCAGTTTCGGCCCTGGCCCCCCGCAGGGGCCTTCAGGCTGGATGCGCTTCCAGTCGTCCACTGGCCGCCCGAGCGACGCCTCAACCCCACACTGGCACTGGGCTCATCGTGTTTAAGACCCTCCACAACCCCTTCTGCTTACAGCGACTGTCCCCAAACCGTGCTCTGCCCTGGAGCCGCTTCAGAGGCAACCGCAGGGTGAGGGGAGAGCCAGCGGGGTGGCAAACCGGTCCCCGGCCCCGGCCCCAGCCGCCACCAGAGCAGCCTCTCTTCCGGTTTTGTGTGTCCGGGCGTAGAGCATGTGAGACACATCGGCCAGGAGTCCCAGCCTGGTCCTGCCGCCCTTCCTGGCCGTGCAGCCTGCCTGTCTTGGTCGTGTACGCGGTCGCTCCTTCAGCGCCTGGCGCTCATCAGGAGCCGCCTCCCCTCGCTCGGGCCCGTGGCTGCCGCTCTTCCAGGGCACAGCACGCGGGGCCTGTTTCCACCCTCTGCATCTCCACTGCACTGGCTGGGTTGGGTCTCCTCACTGCTTCCTCGCCCCTGGGCTGGCCCCATTCAAGGGCACCCTGGTCTTATTACCCCCCACCTCCTAAAACCCCTCAAAGGCCCGCTGCGGCCTCCAGCCCCACCAGGCAACAGCAGAAGTGACGTGTACCGCTGGGAGGACGGCCGTGCGGACGCAGTTACCTGCCTGCCCCGCTCCTGTGCGCTGCTGACCACACGCTTCACCTCGTTGGCATAGGCCTCGGCTGCATTGGGGTGGTCCTCCCGGTAGAGGCCCCGGTAGGTGTCTGGGAGAGGGGCCTGCGGGGAGTGACAGCGCCGTGTCGGCCAGGCTGGGCACCGGCGCCCACCCGTTGCCCCCTCGGGCCGTGCATACCACGTGGACCCACTCCTTCTGGCCATCCAGGTCCCGGAACTTGTAGGGGCTGATGTCAATCAGGGAGCTCAGGTGACCGTGATAGGCGCTGGGGAGGAGAAGGGAGGGTGGGCTCAGGCGGTGGGCGGTCCCAGCCCGGCCTCCCAACTGTGTACCCTCCCCAGGGGACACGCCTTTCTGGCGGAGCCCTGGGCCCCTGGACTGGGGACCAGCCCAGGCCGTGGAGCCGGGGAGGCTTCCTGTGAGGCCGCCTGCTCACTGGGTACCGGGATACCCAGCAGGGCTTCCTGGGGCCAGTCCTCTCCTCTGTAAAGTGGCGGCTTCTCTCCAGGGTTGTGATGACCCTTCAACGTGCTAAGGCTCCACCCCTGGACCCAGTGCAGCACAGAGTTGATACACAGGAGCCACTGTCGGGGGTTTCAATACCTCGAATGTGGGACCAACTCTGCCCCCCTGCACCCCGCAGAGCTGCCGCAGCTCTCCAGAAGCTGCCCTCCTAGAAGAGAGATGGGGACAAGGGCCCCCTGGGGTGTGTGTGTGGGGGGGGTGCCTGTGTCACAGCCCCTCGTCCCTCCCGCCCATGGCCCCTGAAGTCAGAGCCTCGCTGACCCCCAACAAGCAGCGGCCCGAGCGCTGGGAATGGCACTTACTGGTCCAATACCACCACGTCCCAGTGTCCCGTGTACTGGCGGGCCAGCCTCAGGGCCAGGTCATTGGCCTCCGACCTGTGATGGGAAAGGAGGCACTTGCTCTGCCAGCTGTCCCCAGGCTCTCCTTCCCCGAGCGCTGCTTCCTCCAGAGAAACCCAGAGGGACGGGGTGCCCTGCCGGCAGCAAGAAACCTCTTGCAGCGCCACTCATAGTCATTCAGTAAAAATCCATCCAGCGCCTTGTGCCAGGAGCTGGGGGCAAAAGGGGTAAAACAGGCCCCGGCCCTCCTGGACCTTCCATTCTAGCATGTGTGCTGAAAGCCAAACAGACCGACCAACCCCAACGACAGAATGATCACGTTGGTAAGTGCCCCAAGAGAACCGCACGGGCCCCACTTGGACGAGGGGGTGTTCTAGGCTGAGTTGTGTCCCGCGTGATTCCCGAGCCGGAGTTCTGACTCCCCGCGCCTCGGACTGTGTCTGTGTGTGCAGGCAGGGCCTTCAAAGAGGCGATGAAGTCAAAGGGAGGCCGTGAGGGCGGCCCCCACCCAGCCTCAGTGATGTCCTTGGAATTTGGAAAGACGAAGGAATTTGGACAGAGAGGCCAGGGGTGCGTGTGCGCGGAGGGAAGGCCACAGGCAGGCAGCTAGGCAGCCCTCCGCAAACCAGTGGAGGCTGCGAAGAAACCGGACCCGCGGACACCCTGGCCTTGGACCTGGCTTCCAGACTGTGAGAGGGTAAACGCTGCTGCCGGAGCCTCCCTGCCAGGCGCTCTGTGGTATTTGGTTCTGGCAGCCTGAGCTCAGACGGGGTCAGGGGAGGCCTCCATGAGAAGGCAGCACCAGCACTGGCTCCCCAAGGGGAAGTTTCCAGGCACAGCGAGCTGCTGCGCAAAGGCCTGGTGAAGGGAAAGAGTGTGGTGCCCTCAGGAGCCGAGAGGAGACGGGAGGCATGTGGGGCCGTCTCCGCAGGCCCCTGGACGGAGCCTGGCCTTTCTTCCTAGGGCCGTGAAAAGCTACCGAAGAGTTTTAATCAGAGAAAAGGCACAGCCCAGCTTCCATGTGAGGAGGAAGCCTCTGGCCGTGTCTCAGGGACTGGAAGGGAACTAAAGTGGGAGTGGCTCCTTTCAGCTTGCCAGGTTTAGTCTGCTGCCCCTTCTCCATCCACAGTGGTCATAAAATAAACAAGGACACGCTGATTCAATGGAAAAAAAGGGGGAAGTGAGGAGACCAAGGGCACTCGGTGAGCATGTGGCAGCCACAGAGACAGAGGTGACGGAGGCACCGGGAGATAGGCGAGGCGCCTGAGGTAGCGCTGCCTCGGGCAGAGATGCAGATGGTGCTGCCACTTATGGGGTGGCACCAGGTGGGGGTGGCAGTTGAGGGGGTGTCCCCTTGGGAAGGTCTGGGGTGGGTGCCTGGGAAAGCAAGGGGGAGCCGGGGCCACGGTCCCACGCCAGGTGTTGGCAGAGGACAATCACCTCCTCGTTGTCTTTTTGATACATGAAGATGGAGGCGTTCAAGAAGGCAAGTGTGCCGCCCCAGCCTGGCTCGGTGGGCTGGGCATCGTGCTGCAAACCGAAAGGTGGCCACTTTGATTCCCGGTCAGGACACGTGCCTGGTTGCAGGCCAGGTCCCTGGTTGAGGGTGTGCGAGAGGCGACCGGTCAATGTTTCTCTCCCTGCCCTTCTCCCTCCTTTCCCCTCTCTCTTAAAATAAATAAATTAACTCTTAAAAAACAATACAGACATCACATGGGTGGTTAGAACCATGAGGCTGGAACACATGGGAAGCATCTGGGCTTGAGACACAAATTTGGGAGTCACCAGCATGTGGTGACATGCAATCCTACAGGAACAGATGAGATCACGAAGGGAGAGGGCCCAGCGAGGACGTGCCCTGCGGATCTGGGGGGGGAATTGGCAAGGGCGGCAGGAGGCCCGGCCGGGCGCTAGGGGAGGCCAGCGGTGCGCCGAGTCCTGGGAGCGGACCTGCGCCCCTCCGGCGCAGCGGCAGTAAGCCCAGGGCAGCAAAGAGCCCTCGGATCTGACAACGTGGAAGTCGCCGGAACCCAAAGAGTAAACCTGGCAGAGCAAACCAGCAAAGGCCCCTCCCTCCGCTGCCAAGGAGGCTCCCTCTCCTGGACGCAGCTCCCTGCTCTTCCCGGAGAGGCGCCGGTTCTGGCCCCCGCCCCCTCTGTGGATGGCCCTGCGCAAGCTGGTTCCTTTTTCTGAGTGGCTGTTTCCTTCTCTGTGAAGTGAAGATGTAAATTGTAATTCCTAGAAATGACTGGGCGGGGGGAATGATGGATGTACATCAACGGCCATGATGATAGTTACTAGACTCTAAATTCAGCCTACGGTGTGTCCTCTCCCAGGACGCCGGGCTGCTTCTGTGTGCCTGTCATCGCCCGCCCCTGCTGTCTCCGCTCCACCCCTCAGTGTGAGCTGCCATCGCCTGTCACCTGCCCACTGAAATGGCGCCTAATGGTGTCCTCCCCACGCCCTGATGACACCGCTTGCCTGACAGAAACCCTGCGGTGACTTCCAGTGCTCTCAGGATACAGACTCTTGGCCGGCGCGGACCTGGGTGACGGGCCCTGCGTCCTGCCCCCGGTGTCCTCGCGCACCTGGCATCCCTCACTGGCTGCCCTTGCTTCCTCGAGTGGGCTGGGCGCCAAGGCTTCCTGCCGCGGGGACCCCCCGCACAGGCTGTCCTGTGTGGTGCCCAGCCTTACCCAGAGCACCCGTCTGCGGTCAGCTCACCGCCTCCCGTCACTGCAGGGACGTCCCCCGACCCTCCGGCGCAGACCAGCCTGCTCCTGTGCCTCGAGAGGTCCTGCGCTCTTCTTCCAGGCAATGACCTCCCCCGCTGCCCCGTAATTTTTTATTTCTTTGAAGAATCACTTGTTTTGTTTCTTACTGAGTAAGCAGGGATTTGGGTTGCAGCCCCAGCACCACGCCTGTGTCCTCCTAAGGCAGAAATAAAGGCAGGCACCACCCCCGTGGGCCTAACAAGGGTCCTGGAAGGGAGCGAGTGGCACCTCTTACTAAGAGGTCGGCAGAGTAAGCCCGGCTCTACAGATGGGAAGCCCAGGCCCCCGCACAGCGAGGGCCACCTCTTCTCCAGCCCACACCTGGCCGGCGCACTGTGCTTGTCTTGTGTGGGGGCTGGCGGCAGGGCACTTACCCAGAGTTCAGGAAATAAAACACACAGAGCGTCTCCGGCAGGGTCTCAGACAGCCTTTGTGCAAAATCCACGATGTTGTCATGCAGGTATCGGCTGTTGGTGTTGAGCACTTGGTTTTGTTCATGTGCTGCTTGGACCACGAGAGGGTGGCAGTGTCCAACTGGAAGGAGGCCACCTTTGTCACAGAGCTGACCCTGCCCAGCCAGTCCTACGGGTCCTCCCCATCCCCAATCTGCACACCCAGCTCGGGGAGACACAGTTGTGGAGGGAGTGGTGGACCGGGAAGGAGGGGAGTCTGAAGACAGAGGCGGGAGACAGATGCCCGCTCTGGAAAGGGGAGACCTAGAAAGGAGTCCCTGAGATTCTGGCAGAGGAAAAGTTCTCTGGCAGAAACCTACTTAGAATCCCGTGTCTTTGGCAGGGGTGGGGGTGTCAGTCCACGGGCTGGATCTCGCCTGTCAGTGGGGGCTGGAGGTAACGGCTGCCAAAGGCCAGAGATGGCGCTAACAGCAAATTTCCGCAGGGAGCTCACCAGGTGCCAGGCACTCAAAGCGAATTACATGAATTAACTCAATCCTCCAAAACACCCTGAGGTGTCCGCCTTGTATTATCATGCCTATCTTGCAGAGCAGAGAACTGGGGAACAGAGAATTAAGGCACTTGCCTATGATTACAAAGTTGACAACGGAAGGACACGGGTGAGAACCCCAGTGTTCTGGGACTAGAGCCTCTACTTTATTAACCCCCAAGGTGCCTGCTGAGTTGCAGGAGCTTCCCCCCAGTCCGCTCCTGCGGCCTGATCTGGATAACTGAACTACTTCACTTTCCTTGCAAAGGACCTGAGATGATCACTGGGGCTGAAGCCCTGCCACGCTCCCCAGCACTTGGCCAGGGGAGCCCATTGCTAGTCGCGGGTGGGCTGACTGTCCCGCTCTGAGCTTGCCGTCAATCCCCAGTGAAACTGGGCTCTGGGACCTGGGACCTGGGACCTGGGTCTCTGACTCCCGCCGGGTTTCGCGCGCGGCTCCTGCTCTGCAACGTCTACAGCTACACGGGGAAGACTGGGCCTTCTCTGCTGGGCTCTACGCCAAGTGCCCCAGCGTCTCTGCACCTCAGGATCCTCCTTGGACCAGGTTCACAGCCCTGCTCTTCCGCCCTGCCAAGTTGCGGGATGGTACTGACCGTGAGCCACATTGTTGATGCAATCGATGTATTCTGCCCCCTGTTCATCATACATGTACTGCCCTTTGCCCCGGACAATCTTAATGGGATCCTCAGGAAAAAAGAGTCTGCAGGAAGAGCTGTGGGGACAGGCAGAAAAAGTGGCCAGCCACGCCTGAAGACCTGAAGGGAGAAGCCCACTCGTCACAGCGCCCCCACCCCCGGACCCCTTCAGTGTCTGGGAAGGACAAAAGCTGGCAGGGCACCGTGCTGCCTCCTGCCTCCAGTCCCCTACTCGGTAGGTGAGACTGGAAAGGAGGAAAAGGAGGAAATAAGCAGTGGGTAACACTTAAATTAAGTCATTCGAAGGCTACGTGGTTCCTGTGCCCACATCAGTCCCTTGAATCCCCGGAAAAGGTGGCCTCCGAGACGCTCGGGGCCCCTCCCCTAGGCAGTGTTTCTTCGCGGGGGTGGGAGTGAGGGGGGCACCCCAGCAGGTGGCCGGCTCCGGCCCTCTGGGGTTCCTGCCAGCCGAGGTACGCGGCTGCCCCGCTGGCTGCAGCTCTAAATCCAGCCAGAGGCTGTGTCGCGCCCCGCGCCGCGCGCCCCGCCAAGGGCCCCTGAAGCAGGCCCGGGGCGGAGGTTCTCCGAGGCTGCCAGCGAAACGGCTCCCCACCCCCACCCTCGTCTCAACTTCGGTCCCTGAAGGAGTCCCTCTTAGGCCAGGTCAGGTCCTGAGGCGGGCCGTCCCCGGGGGTCCTCCCAGTGCCAGGCAAGGGCCTTCTGGGGGTAAAGGCTGTCGAGAGGTCGGCGGCGGCTGCGGGAGGGCCCGGCTCCGGAGCCGCAGGGCGGACCGAGGGGACGGCAGCAGAGGGCACGGCTAGGGGGAAGCGGCCGCCCGGCCCCGCAGCGCGGGGCCGAGTCTCGGAGACCAGGGAAGAATAGGGCGGGGCGGGGTCGCCGGGGCTGGGGTCTGCGGGCTCCGCGCAGGGCGTGCGCGCGTCGTGCGTGCGCGCCTCCCGCGCCGCCGTCTGCTACCTGAGCAGCCGCCGCCGCTGAGCCAGCGTCGCCGCCTTCCCGCGCGGGTCCGCGGCCATGACGCCCGGCGGCAGTCCGCGGAGACCGAGGAGGCGAAAGGCGCCGGGGCCCGGCCCCGCCCCACCGCCGCGGCTCCGCCCCGCCCCGCCCCGCCCCGCCCCACCCCACCCCACCCCCTCCCGCGGCCCGTTTCGCGTTTGTTAGTTAATTCGCTAGGCGAGCGAGCCCGGTGAGCTTGCCCCAGCCGAGTCGTTCCGTGGAAAGCGCCGCGCGGGAGCGGGGTTGTGCCTCCCTGCTGAGTGCTGCCCTAGCCCTTGGCCAGCGTCGTTCCTCGGGGCCGCTCTTCGGGCCCGGGCGGTTTCCCTCTCCTGGAAGGGTCCGCGAGGGAGTCCGCCGCAGCTCCCGCACCCGAGCGGGCTTCGGGCTAGCAGGCCTCGCCCGGGTCCCCGGGCTCAGTCTGAGTCGCCTTCCCGATCGCACAGAGTGAGACGCGCCGTGAGCGTTCCCTGGGACCCCAGGCAGGGTGAATGGGAGCTGTGTCCCCACTGAGGGGGTCGGTCATAGAGTGTTTAGGCAGGAGGGTTGGGCCGGATAGTGAGCCATATAGTGAGGGCACGGCCCGGAAACCGAGGCCCAGAACGGGACAGGGCTTTGCTCTCGGACACACAGCCAGTGTGAGCACAGGCCGGCTTCCAGCTCAGGTCGGCCCGACGGCCCCCGGGGCCCGGAGCGCGGGGTGGGGTGGGGGGGAGCTGACATCGCCTCCGGATGCCCTGATGGACCCCAGAACAAGGGGTCACAGTCCTCTGCTTGGCTCCCTCGTTGCTGATCGCTGCTTTCTTCATCTCTTCCCCCATAAAAATGTGAAATGTTTATTAAGGCATTTATTAATATATGGAGTCTCTTTTGCCACCTTCTATTGTGGTAATGTAAACATACCATAAAATTTGTGTTCTAACAATTTTTAATTGTGTAGGTGAGGTGCATTCGGGATGTTCAGTTTGTGCAGCCATCACCGCCATCGACCTCCAGAACTTTTTCATCTACTAAACTGGATGGTGTTTCTTTTCCTTTTTCTTTTTTCCAATTAGCAATAATTGTGCCTCAGGTAAACATCATTGGCTATGATACTGCCACTGCGCAAAGCGAGAAGTGTCTTACTTTTAACAGTAAAACTGGGTGAACCTTATGTGTGATACTTGAAAAAAAAATTTCTCCCCAATTAACCAGAAATGCTTCCCACATACAGGGCAGGAGGGCTTGACCCTTCGGGGCCCTGTGTTGTGGCCCCAGGTGGCTGGCAGAGGTTGCGTGGCTCGGTGTTCTCCAGCCTGAGGGCGGAGGGCGAGAAGGCTGCAGCCGTCCCAGCCCCCACCTCGCCCACTTGGGATGTCCAAGGGCAGGCGGCAGTGCAGGTGGAGGTCAAGCCAGGCCTCCTACTGGAGCATTTCCTGGGCCAAGAGCATCTCCAACGGGGGGGAGGCCAACACCCGGAAGCCTTGCCTTGCTGGCCAAGAAGCCCACTCATCCCTGCCGGTGGTCCCAGGCTAAGCACCTCTCTATCCATCATCTCAGCGGTCCCTAGCCTTTTTGGCACCAGGGACTAGTTTCATGAGGAAGACAGTTTTCCCACAGACTGGGTGTGGGGGAAGACGGGGAGAGTTTCCAGGTGATTCAAGTGCATTACGTGTAAGCTCGCCTCCTGCGGTGTGGCCCGGTTCCTGACAGGAGGTCGGGGGCCCCTGCGTTATCTCATGCCCGGCCTGAGAGGGCAGGGAGTGGGCGGAAGTGGCCGACCGAGCCCAGGGCCTGGTGTTTCTCGCTGCGGCACAGGCGTTCGCGCTGAGATGGTCCGTCGCGGTGCAGGGCTGTCCATGCATCTCAGGTGTCTGAGATCCCTGGGCCTGCCCGCTCAGTGCCAGGAGTGTCCCCAGGCCTTGTGACAACCAGAAGCACCCCATGTAGTATCCTCGGGGTCAGGAGGAGGGAGACCTGGGTCAGCCCACTCCTCTTGGGGTAGGAGTTTTTGTGGTTAGCTTCGCGGCCACGGCACCAGCAGCGCTCAGTAAATGTGCTTCCCTTTCTTCTGGGAGGGGACAGCGGGCAGCTTTTGGCGGGGAGGTGTGAAACCCTTGGTCCTGGAGGCTCAGCTGTGAGGCAGGGCACTCCCCCGTGTCTCGTGTTTTGGCTGGGACCTTGGGCAAGTCCTTCACTCTCCCGTACTAGTCTCGCATACCCACCTCAAGCTACTGGAGCAATCTGTAGGCTCTAACATTTGAAGTTTGCCATGAAAATTTGCAGACCCGAGGATACACAGTGTGAGGTCGCAAGGGGGCAGCAGTGGGCCACAAATAGCCTTGTTCCTGCCCAAAGGAGCAGCAAAAGGACCTCTGTCTGGTGTCTGGGGAAAGGGGAACACACGGCTTCTACCACCTGGAGGATCTGCCTGTCAGTCACCCAGCGTCACGATGCTGCCCCTCAGACTGCACCCCACAAGTAGTTTCAGGAGACAGTTGTGGTGCTTTATCCCCAGGCAGATGACTGCCCCCTCAGAGCCTCCGTTTCCTCACATGTCAAATGGCAGTGGTGCCTCGAACCACATGGGCTCCCTCCTCCACAGACTGGTTGGGGAGCAAATTACAAGCTGTGCAGTGCAGTCGGTTTGCGAGGCCGGAACACCAAGGGGCGCCTGAACGGCCTGTGGTCTCCATCAGCCGTCACAGCCCGTGTTCCCCTTCCTTTTCACTCTGTTGGCTTCCCCGGTGACCCAGGCTGGCCCGTGCACAGCGGGCCCGCCACTCATCGCCAGCAACCTGGGGACACAGAGGCGAGGACTTGACACATTCCTCCTCCTCAGCCAGGGCATGGCTGGGCCTCTTCTGCTTAGTGAGGAGACCACATAGTGGGGGCTGGCAGGGAGCTGCCCAAACCGTGATTCTCCTTGGGCATCAGTCCCCGGAAGAGAGGGCCTGAGATACCATCACTGCAGCCTCCTTCTTGTCTACACTGCCCTGGATGTGCGTGCTCTTGTCATCTGTGAAATGGGCATATTCGCTGGGTCCCTCTCTCAGGGTTGTTAAAAGGACCGGCTGGAATGGCGGGTACAGAAGCGCTTTGTGGGGCTCTGGCCCTCGCCTGGTCTTGGCATGGGGAGGAGCGAGAGAACTGGGAACCACGGGAGCCGCGGGGGCCTGTGCCGCCCTGGGTTCTCCTTGTGCTCCACGCGGCTGTCCCCACTCACCGCCCTCGGGGGAGGCACCACTGTCCCTTTGCGCAGGTGAGGGGCAGGCTGAGCTTTCTAAGAGGGCTGCAGCGAGACCTGCCCCACGTTTGGTCCTTCCAATGGGATGTTGACGCTTTTCCCTTGAATCAGAGGTGAACCACTGATTGTGCCAGGAAGTGCCGCCATACGACTCCTCGGGCTTGGCCATAGGGCGCTGTGGCACAGTCACCCCTAGAATCCAGCAGCCGCGCTGCGAGGAGCCCAGAGCGCACGGAGAGGCCGGGGGTCGGTGTGCCGGCCATCCGACCCCCCTCCGCTGACAGCCAGCATCGACCCGCCCCCGGGGGTGGGAGAGCTGAGCCCCAGCCATCCAGCTGGGCCCATTGACCCCGGACCTGTCAGAGAGGAGCACGAAGGATTGTTGTTTTAAGGCACCAAGTTTTGAGGTGATTTTCTGTGTAGCAGTCGCTGGTCACTGGCTCAGTGATCGACTGGCCAGAGGGCTCAGCTGGTCTGCATCTTCCAAACTCCAAGCCCCACCTTTGCCCTGACCCTGAACTGCTTCCTCTGGCATCTGGGGTGGCTGGGACCCAGGGATAGTCTCCCCTGTCCCCCACACTTGGCAGCGGCCAGGCTGAACCCTGAGCCAGAGGCGCCCCAGGGGCAGTCTGCAAGGACAGGCACGCCCAGACCGGAACGCATGGTTTATTACACGCGGCAGTATCCGCCTACGCAGGGAGAGGGGGCAGGGAGCTGGGCCGGAGCCGGTGGCCGGGGACCTTTGTCAGAGATGGGGAAGCCTCTCCGTAGCCCGCCGGGGCCACCGGGGACCCACACTGCGGTTCTCTTCATCTGACAGCGCGCCCGGAGGACCTGGGTTCTCCTGGGAGGGAGCTTGGGGCCAGCAACACCCAAGCTCTGAGCTGGGGGCCCGTCTCCTCAGGCCGGCAGTGTCCCATCACGCCCCTGCTCCGGGTGGGGGGAGACAGACAGGAAGTAGCAGCCAGTCCATCCTGGGCCTCGCCATCCTTCACGCTCGGGGACCATGCGGCCCCCTGCAGCTAGGTCCCTGTGGTGATGACCACGATGCTTGGCCAGTCCTCCCGGCCAGAAGACACGCGTTCTCCTACAGGCTGGCTTCCTGAGGCCTAATGACCTTGGAGAGAACAAGACCTGCTGGGGTGGGAGCCTTGCCCTGGCTGGGGAGCCCGGGGTCCAGGAGGGTGGGCAGCAGGCTCTGGCTGGGGAGGCCAGGAGCAGCGGCGGTGCCCGTCCACGCTCCAGGTGGTCTCCTGGGGCTCCAGATCCCCAGCGGGCAGGAGCTTGTAGGGTGGCCGGGCAGCCAGGGTCTGCTGATATCAGGTGACAGAAGGCCCCACCGGCATCTCTGCAGCCTCGCCTGAGCCAGGCACCTTCACCTTTGTCTCCTTCCGAAGGCCTGCAGGTGCTGCTTAAGTACACAGTCCCCAATGGACCTGTCCGCATCCCTGCCAGCGTCACGTGTTGGCTGTTCTGGGGCTGGGCTAGGCGCATGCTCAAAGGTTAAAAGGCCACAGGCAGTGCATCCCGTGAAAGAAGATCAATATATTACTGTTTCGTTTTTACAAAAATTAAAAATGTCCACATGAATCTGTACAGGTTGTGAGCTGGGTACTGAGGATCACTGGAAAAAGGGGGAGAGACCGAAGGTGAGGGGGGGCCGCGAGGCCCCTAGGGCTCCCCTTCTGCCCGTGTCCTCAGAGGCCAGCACGCCCCCATCCCCTAGTCCCAGGCTCCTGGCTCCCACCCTGTCTCGGGCGGGGGGGGGGGCAGTCTGGACAAAGTCCCAGGGGGCGCTGGTGGCTTTGCACGGGCTGGGCCATGTGCTGAGTGAGCCCCATGCAAGCAACAGGCCGGGCTGAGGATAACCAGCCAGGACTCTATGGCCCGCGCTGCAGGCCACAGATGGGAGAGGTAAAGCTGGCTTGTGGCAGGGAGGCCTGGCTCCTCAGTCGCCGGGTAGGAGCCGCAGATCCCACCATGGGCCCCTCTGGTCCCCCCACGCCCCCCGGCCGTCCTGGAGGCTTCCCCGCAAGATACCTTATGCCAGCAGCCAGGCATGGGCAGCCCGTCGGTGCCCTGGAAAGGAGGAGGGGGGCCTCAGTGGCCGGCAGGGGCTGCTCAGCCCTTTGCCCTGGCCCATGGCTGCCCCGGCGCGGCCTGTGCAGCCCGGGGGGCTGCCACGCGAGGGCGCTGGACCCCACGGACACAGGACCCGAGTGCCTGTCCTGACCACCCAGTCACGGGGCAGACCGCTCCTCCTGCTCTCGTCCTGCTGTGCCCCCACGGGGCTCTGTTGGGGCACCTGTGCGGCGGGCAGAGCCAGGAGGATGCTGGAGCGCTGGGCTTGTGCTGGGCACCTGCTGGTTAGGGAGGACCCGGCCTGGCTCTGCTGAGGGGCTGCGTGCTTCCTGCCTGGGGCGGTAACAGTGGCTCTAGACCCTCACCCTGGGGCTTGAGAGTTTTCAGGAACTGAAGCGTATGTGGACAGTTTAGGAAGCGGCGCCCTCCCCTCCCCCCATGTGCCTGGACCTGAGCCGCAGCCGGTCAGGAGGCAGCCGGCCAGGAGGCAGCGGGCAGGTGCAGCCCGGGCAGGGGTTGTCGGGAGGCAGCCATCAGACACAGGCAGGGGGTGGGGAGCTCAGGCGGCGGGGAGGATCGGGGGCTGGGGAGGGACAAAGGCTGATCCTATAGTCCTGGGGGACCCTGGGGCACAAACACCGCCTGTCCCAAGGGCCTCGGACACGCAGAGGCATCCGCACACTGCCGTGCATTCAGCGGGGCGAGGCTGGGCCGAGGGGCGGGGGACAGGCGGGGCAGGGAGGGCGGGCACACGCACGCGCAGCACAGCACAGCACAGCACACAGCAGGCCAGACCGCCTACCGCAGGGCAGGGCCCGCCGCCCCGCGCCAGGCCCCGCGAGCCCGGCGCCCCTCGCTTGCCTCCGCACTTAGGATTTTCCTGTTTCAAAGACAAAGGCTCCATGACTTGGAGAGAAGTCTTGGCCTGGGGCTGGGGCTGTGGGGCCACCGTGTCCCCTGCTGTCCCTGGCACTTTTGCGTGAGCTCACCACTCAGATTTTCGTGTCTTTCTCTCATCGCCTCTTCAGAACCATCTGGAGGTGGGTTAGCACCCCCATTGCACGGATGAGGACACCGAGGACCAGAGGGCTGAGTGACTCACTCGAGGTCAGAGGACGGGGCCTCTGGGGGTCCCTGGCCCTGACCTCCCCTTGGAAGGTGGTCACACGCTGGGCTGGAGGCCCCTCCCCCCAGGGCCCTGGCCCGGTGGCCAAGTGTGAACCTGGTCAGGTTTCGTTTGGAAGCTCGGCTGTTTTGTGTTCCCTGTCCTTTCTCAGCCCCCTGAAAGAGTCTGACGTGTAACCTCCTCTACCTTCTAGGAAAAGGGAACTGAATTTTGGTCACTTCAGGCACTGGGTCCGGCGGGCCACCAGGGGCTGCGGGGGCAGGGAAGGGAGGGGTCTGGGGCATGTGGAGGAGAGGCAGGGGAGAGGCAGGGGGACGTCGCCCTCCCGGGCAAAGAAAGCCCCCTTCCGGCCACAAGGGACACCCAGAGGGGGAAGGGCGGCCCCCCATGGACGAGGAAGCGCAGCAAAGATGGCAGTGACCCCAGCACACAGACTCTGCTCCCGGCCGGGCCTCCCACGCTGCACCCTGGCAGGGTGAGGCCAGAGCAAGAGGACCTCTGTGATGGGAGTGACAGGGATGGTGGCCCTGGCAGCGCAGGCAGGGCCAGCGTGGCTCTGGGATTTGCATCTGAGCTCTGATGACAGAGGAGGGGAGGGCTGGCAGGAGGTGGCAAGGACCTTGGGGAGGGCTCCCTCCTGCTCCCACACATACCACAGGGCAAGGCTGGTCCAGGCCTGGCGGTCCCGGCTCGCCCTTCTGGCCCTTCACGCCTTTCCGGCCGGGGACGCCTCGCTCCCCCTGCACAAGAAGGGGACAGGGCGTCGCTGCGGCTGCCGCACCCGGGACGCCTCCAGCACCTCTGACAGGCGGCCCGAGGCTGGCAGCCAGCCCGCCCTGCTGCCCCTCCCAGCCCCCCCGCCCTCCCCCCGCCTGCTTCTTGCCTCCCATGTCTTTGCTGCCTCGTCCCTCCTCTCTAGCTGCCCCCACTTTCTCTCCGCCTACCCCACCTTCTCGCCACGCTCGCTCCGGTCGCCTTTCTCTCCTCGGGGTCCGGGGAAACCCTGACAAAAGGATTAAACGTTAAACCTGAAAATGAGGTTTGAGATTTGCCCCTCTTACCTGTCCATCTCTGCCCCTCCCTCCGTATTTGTGGTACCAGCTGGCCTGGCTCAAGCTCCTAGGGGACACATGCACGGGCACAGTCGGATTCGGGGAAAGGCGTGCCTTCAGGAGGACCCTGTTGGAGCCCGAGGATGGGAGCCCCGGGCGAAATGGCTGGCCAAGGCTGTCCCTCTTGTCAGCCGGTGCAGCAGCCGGTGCCGCGGCCGCTGGCCCAGACTTGGCTGGGGACAGGCTCTGGAAATCCACACAGTTTGTCATCATTTTTGGCAGACCAAGAAGTGATGACCTATCTTCTCTGGCCTTGGCTCAAAGTCTTGTACACCCACCCATCTATCCATCCATTTATCCATCTGTCCATCCATCCAACCAACATCCCTAAGCATCCACCAGGAACTGGGCTGTAGTCTGGAGGCTGGTCACAGAGAAATAGATTTGATGTGTTCCCTCTGGTGTTTATTATGTGGTTCATTCTCTTTATCTTATGGTTTTTTTATCCTTACCTGAGGACATGGTAATTGATTTTAGAGAGAGGGTAAGGGAGGGAGAAAGGAGGGGGGGGGAAGAAACATTGATGAGAGAGAGAAAGATCGGTCGGTTGCCTCTCATACGTGCCCTGACCAGGAATCGAATCTGCAGCCTTTCAGTTTATGGGATGATGCTCCAACCAACCGAGCCACGCTGGCCAGGGCGTGATGGTTTGACATCTTAAAAATCTTGTTGGCTGGGGAGAGGCTGTCCCTCCCAGAACCAGCCAGTTCTTAGAGATGGTGAAGGGCTAGTCTGGGAGCACGCCTTTCAGACGCCAGCCAGCCAGCCCCCCTGGCGCCCCCTTGTCTTCCACTCACACCCTGGAACAGTATTTCCCCATCTGAAAGCATCCCAGGGCCAGGCAGCAGGCAACTAGAGGCCACCCTATGGCTGCAGCCTGCTGGAATTATTCAAATTAGCCGGTCCTAACCGGTCTCCCTTGCCCTGCCCTGCCTTTCCCACGGGAAACCCAGTGAAGCTCTGGCCTAGGCTTTCCCTGCTCCTTTCTGCCTCCAACCAAACCAGGCGCTTCCCCATGTGGCCCTTCATGCCCTTCTCTTGGGAAACGTTAGGAATAAATCCTTGGAAAGGCATTGACCTCTCCGTGTCATCACTCAGTCGCCTCCGTAAATTAAAGCCCCTTGGGTACAAACGTGACACTTCCCTTACAGTCTAACATGGCAGGCAATGGGGCGCAGGAGGGGACGATCATGCTCAGTGACGCAGGGGTGAGCGCAATGCCCTGGGGTCCTGCGGAAGGCGCTGCCCTGTCCAGGTGTGAGGCTTGGGAAGGCTCCCCATTTCAGCGGGGCCTGGAAGAGTGGGTGCAGCAGTCTGCCAGGTAGAGCAGGTGCATGTGGCTTTGAGATGACACTCTGAGCCCCGGCCTCCCAGAAGGCAGCTGGCAGCTGGCCATGGAGCCTGTGGCTGTGCTCGGGGTACCTCGCGGGGCCCGGGTGTCGTCTTCTCCTGACCCTTCTCTCGATGGAACGTGGCCCTCCCAGCCAGATACTCGGGGTTGAGCTCTTCCTTCTCCTTGCCTGCAGTGGCTCTTCAAAGTGACATTTTTTCCTCCTTAAAGCCCTCTGTCTGGTTACCATTTCCTTCCGAAGCCACCAGGTTTTCCCGGCGACCCCTCCTTCCTGCAGTGGCCCCGCGCCCAGCTCCAGGATGGAGCCCAGCACCGTGCGCCCCTCTGGCCAGGACTGGGGCAGCGTTGACCCAGCTGCGGCCAATGAGAGCTGATGAGACTTTTTCTAAAAGGGTGGCGAGTGAGGCAAACACTCTTCCTCCAGGATTTGGGCCCAGAGAGGTGCAGGTCTGGAGCTCTTGGCTCATCACCACGAGGCCCTTGGAATGGGGTCCACATGGAGGAATCCAGTCCAAGAGAGGGTGAGGGGGTGGCTTGCGCTGACACTCCTCGAGCCCTGGATCCCCGGATTTTTCAGTTATGAGTCAGTTTAAACCAGTTTAAATTATGTTTTCTGTCTCTTGAAAGCAACAGATACTTGGTCCAATCAACTTTGGGCTAATACTTCCCCTCCTCTCCCTCCCGCAATACTGTCTTAGCCAAAGCCTCATCATCTTTCACCAGAATATTGCAATAGGCTCCTCACTGTTCTCCCCCCTCCCTACTTGAATGCACCACCCTTCCATCATTTGTTCATGTCTCATTTGCCCATGCATCACCCATCCATCATCCGTCATCCATCCACCCACCCATCATCTACCCACCCACCCGCCCATCCATCCATCCATCCATAAAGCACCTGCTCTGGACTGTGCATTGGACTTGGTACTGGGAACACAGCGGAAGCCAGGCAGTTGTAGTCCCCGCCCTGGGAGAGGGGGTTACACCCAAGCCAACCAGACCGGGGACCCGGTCACAGTGAAGGGTGAGGTACTTACATCTAGTCCTGGCTCCCCGGGCTCCCCGGGCCTGCCCTGAGGAGACACAAAGAGACCGTGTGCAGGGGCTGGGGAGGGGCGCTGGGAGCGCAGCTGCTGGGACTTTCAGTCCTGTAAGCTGTCCCCAAGCCCGAGCTCTGGCCCCGGGGGCCAGTGAAGTGCAGGGGCCGGCCCCTCAGGGCTGAGCGACACTGCGGACGTTCAGCCACAGTTGGGGGGGCATCAAAGAAGGGCGGTTACCTTCTCTCCTTTGGTTCCTGGCAGCCCAATGAGGCCCAGAGGGCCGGCTGGCCCCTGGAGGGAAAGGGGACGAGTTAAGAGGCATGACGGTTACGGGAACTGGCCCCTCTAAGGACAAACAGGCCTCCCGACACTCACAGGCAGGCCGCTGGGGCCTCTCTCCCCTGCCTCGCCCTTCTCTCCCTTTGCTCCATCCAAACCCTGGAAGTGAAGGAGGGACAACAGTCAAGGAGACGGGGTCAGACAGACAGAAGGACAGGAAATCTTGGGGCGTGTGGGGGCCCAGGCGTGCAGCGCAGAGGGCCAGCCTCCAGGCTCTGACAGGCCTGGCCCTGGTTCGCCTCCTGCGCAAGCGGTCAGAGGGCGCCGTGGGTGGGAGCGTTTCACCTGCCCCGCACGCGGGCTCCGAGCACGCACGGTCGGTGGTTGTGGTCGCACCCACTTCACAGGTGAGGAAAGGGAGGCACAGAGGGGGCGGGGGGCGGGCCCAGGCGCACAGCAAGCAAGTGGCAGAGCTGACGGCCGACTGAGTTGGGCCCCGTCTTGGCCCCCGGCCCTGACGGCATCTGTCTCTTCTAAACACGAGGAGGCCGGGCAGGCGGGGGCGGGGGCGGGCTTGGGACAAAACAGAGCCAGAAGCAGCACATCTGGTCGGCCACACGCTCGGCCAGCTCAGCCCCGGGGGGGCCACGACTCCGAGTCCCCGAGGTGGCCCGGGCGCCGGGGGTGGGGTGGGGTGGGGGGGCAGAGATGCGCGCGTCCTCAGGGCGGGGCGCGCGGGGAGGCCATCTGTGTGGCCCCTGTGGCCGGGCGCGCGGGCCTGGCGCACTCATGGTTTTAATTTAAGAGCAGAGGACACGACATCATGTAATACACGCCAAACCCAAGACTTCATGTCAAGACTGCGGGCGGTGGAGAGACAGATGTGCGCATAGGAGGCACAAGGGGAGGGGCAGCGAGGGGGAGGCACAGAGAAAGAGGGGGCGGACATCGTGGGGGGAGCCGTGGACTGGGGCCCGGGCAGGAGGAGGAGGGAGCGAGCAGAGCCTCGCGGCGGGCCCGGGGGCGGGCGGGGGGGCACCAGCGCTGGGGGGCTCCCAACGTGCAGGCCCCGGGAGGATGCAGGGCTGGTCTAAGGCCAAGCGCGGGGCCTTCCCTTGGCCCAGTGGCAAGGTTTTCTGGAAGCGTCCGAGCTGTGGATCTGCAGCAGGGAGGGGGTTTCACCCCTGCCCTAGAACTCACCTGGGGACCCTGGACTCCCTGCAGGCCCTGGCAGAGGAGGAGAGAGCAGATTAGGTCCGGGGCCCTCTGGCGGTGGCCTAGAGGCTTGCGGGCCACTCGCTGTCCCCTGCGTTGCTGACCTCTGTGGCCCCCCTCCCCAGTCCCCCTTGCCTGACACGTCCTCCCCCACCCCCCGCCCAGGGAGTTCTGTCCTCCCCAATCACAGCTCCTGGACACGGGCCCACGGCCCCTTTCATATCCCAGCTGCGTCAAGCGAAACATTCTTACCATGGGGCCTGGGGGACCTGGGGGGCCGGGCGGCCCTGGCTCCACTATGATCTGGGCCTAGGAAAGGTCAGAGGTGGCTTGGTCGCACGCTGCCCCTCCCAGCCGTGCGGGAGCTCCGGGAGGCTGGGGGAGCGCGCCCCGGCCCGGCCCTGTGCCTGTGCTTCTCGCCCCGGAGCGCCCTGCCCGGCGGGGGCCCAGCGCTGGCACTGGGGTCTCAGATGGGCCTTAGGTGGAAGACACAGCCCCAGGTTCCTCTGCCCCCACTCCCCTGGGTTCGGTCAGGCCAGGTGGCCCTGCTGTCCCAAGGCTGGGGGCCCCAGCTGGCCTCGGCCGCCCCCTTACCAGGCTCTCTGGTAGCTTGTCAGGTGCTGGCTCTCCCTTCTGCCCCTTGGGGCCGTGGGCTCCCTGTAGGGCAGGACGGTCTTGAGCCCTTTCTGTCCGTCACCGGGATCACTGTCCTTAGGGATCAGTACCTCCCCTTCCCTCCCCCCACGGGTTTCTGATGGCAGAGACGCGCCAGGTCGGCCTTTGCGCTTCAGGCTGTTTTCCCTGGACGGTGGGTATTTAGGGAGCACAGGGACAGTAACACACACGGAGGTTTTCCCACGAGGAGGAGGGCGGCTGGGGCTCTGGAGCACCGGGTCTACCGGCCGGCTTGCTCCGCTGCGCAGCCTTGTGGACGGACAGCGGGCGGGAGGGGGGCACCAGGTGGCCGCTTAGCCTGTGAGCTCTTCCGGTCGGTCCTTCCGCGCCAAGCCCACGACCAGAAGGACAGCGATGGTGACGGCAGGCACTTGCTGCACGGCCGCCACCCTTCCCGGGCCCCTTTGTGCGCTCCCTCGCGGGAGTGGGAAGTTATGACCCCGTGTTAGAGGCGGGGAAGCCGAGGCCGCCTGGGCTTAGGGTGCTCGTGCAGGGTTCTGGTCAGCAAGGAGTGAGGCAGGATGCCAGTTCGGGCGGCCCGAGCTGCGGCCTAACCCCCGACTCTCCTCTCCGGAGCGGGGCCTCCTTAGTTCACCTGCACAGAGGGCTCGGGAGTCGGTGGGGAGGAAGGGGCGCTCAGAGGCGGAGCAGCCTGGGCTGGGAGCGGGAGCTCCTCCCTTCAAAGGTCCTGCGGCCCCCGCTGGACCGTGGCGCCAGGCCCGAGCTGCCAGCAGGCACATCACTTGGGACCCCACGTGGGACAAGCAGGGTGGGCAGGTCTACCAGCCACTTACCGGGAGGCCAGGCAGGCCCATCTCGCCTGCTTCCCCTTTGGGTCCAGGGGGCCCAACCTCTCCTGGGTCTCCTTTTTGTCCTTTGGGACCCTGAAAGCCACACAAACAAGGGCTCAGCGGGGCTCAGCGGGCACTCTCCCTCCCCCGCTGTGACAGGTCCCCAGAGCTTCACTCAGGCCAAGCCAGACCCCCCACTTCTTTGTAGTGGGTCCCCGCCTCCAGCCCAGGCAGCAAAGGCACTGAGGGGCCTGGACAGAGACGGGGGCACCTCCACCCGTCTCACTGCGCACAGGGGTACAGGGTGGTTGGGGGCTCAGGGAGTGGAGCGAGTGGGACCCTCTAGTGGCGGCCACGAGGGGATGCTTATCAGGCCCAGGGTCACCTCTGTGCGTACCTCTCAGGAGCCAGTGACGGGTGCCCCCAACCTCTACGACCAACCAGCCATCCACACAGCCACCTGCCGGCCACTGGACCCAACCCACCAACTGCGTGATGTCCACGGTGTGCCACACACCAGGGACTCAGCGCTGAAAACACCCCCCCAAAGGTCAGGCGACACCCGTGGACACTGTGGTGTCTACACAGGGCCGCACGCGTGTGTACTTAAGTGCTGACAGGAATGCTATTGGCTACATTCGAAGACTCCGCGACGTGGCACCGGGCTGTGCGCCAAGAGTTTCCCGCCCACCGTCGGTCAGCCCTCAGGACAACCCGGCCACCGCCCTCCCTGGGGACTGGGGCTGCGGCCGCCAGAGGGGGCGCAGCTCGCCCATGGCCTGCGGGCAGAACCGGGGTTCGCACGCAGGTGGCCTGCGTCGTTCCCTGTCTGTGCACACAGTCACACACGCACACACGCAGCGTGACACCTGTCACCAGCATCACCAAGGAAACGAAAAGCGCAGAGACCTTCTCTCCGTCGATGCCGGGGGCACCTGGCAGCCCGAGCTCGCCCTGGAAGGGAGCAGAGAGCAAGAGGGGTTGTGGTGTCCCGCGGCCCTCAAGGGGTCTGTGGCTGGGCTGCCCCCCGACTGGCGTCCTGTTCCTGGCCCAGCCCCTGCAGTTAGGTGTCCAGGACGGTGCCAACAGGGCACCCCGCACTGTGCCAGGAGCTGCCATCCCCGCTCTCCGCGCCCGCAGCACCCACAGGCGGGTGGCGCCCAGGGCTCTCGTCCATAAGCTGGCAGGTTCCATTTTGGAAGCTGAGGCTCAGAAGGTTAAACGACTTGCTCCAGGCCACACAGCCCAGGGACAATGGTGGGACCAGACTCTGTCTGACGTCACAGTCTTGGGTTCTAACTGCAGAGCCGGGTGGTCTGCATGTAATGATGCGCACAGGCCATAGGAACGGCCAGGCCCTCCGTGGGGCTTCGTGACGTCACTAGGGGCCGATTTATGGGTTTCCACGTGTGAACCAAGCTTCCCAGGGTGCAGTGCAGCGAGGGCCGGGAGGAAGGCACCCTGCCTGGTAGGAAGTAGCAGGCCCCTCTCTCTGAGCTCCCAGAACGCAGGCCAGGACTCAGGGAGACAAGCAGAGAGGTGGGGCAGAGAGGAGGGGGCGGTGGGCTCTGGGGACAATGGGACCGCACAGCTGCATGTGCACTGACCTTGGTTCCGGGGATCCCTGGTGGCCCTGGGGGCCCTGGTGGCCCGGGAGGACCCTGTGTGCGAAAGTCAATCCAGTCAGTGTTTAGGCAGTGCCTGCCCCTCCCTGCCAGCCCCCTGGTTAGGGGGCTGCAGCGGGTCGAGGGCCCTGAGGCAGCCCCTCTCCCACGCAGCCTGGCCAGGCCCCTGTCCCGAGGGCGTCCTGGGGGAGGTCCCAGGCGCCAGGTAAGTACACAGTGTCCACTGCCACGGAGGGCCCAGCCTCCCTCTGCCCTCTGAGCCGGGCTCCCCAAAATCTAGGTTTCCCTCCCTCCCTCCCTTTCTTCCTTTCTTTCTCCCTTCCTTCCTTCCTTCCTTCCAAAAAAAATATTTTATTTCTTTATTTTTAGACAGAGGGGAAGGGAGAGAGAGAGGGAGAAAAACATCAATGTGTGGTTGCCTCTCGAGCGCCCTCAACTGGGGACCTGGCCTGCAACCCAGGCATGTGCCCTGACTGGGAATCGAACCAGTGACCCTTTGATATGCAGGCTGACTAATCCACTAAACCACACCAGCCAGGGCCCAAAATCTCGATTTCTTCACAACACAGCCCTGGGCCAGATCCTGTGGGGACTCCCTATTGCCCCTTGAAGCTGGTGTTCAATGCCAGCCCGAGGCTGTGTCCCCAGCAACGGCCCAGCGCTGCCTTCTCCACTTGTCCGTGACCTCTCTGACCATCAGCTCTGTTGCCCGTGGTCTCCTGGCCCCGGGGGGCTCCCGGGCGGCACAGGCTCTGGGCTGACCCCGCTCCAGGCCGCCGTCTCCGCCTCAGCTTCCGGAGGGCTGCCGGCTCAGCATGGCTCATCGGCACCCCCCAAACTCATGTCCCGTCCCAAAGGTCACACCCTGGGCAGCCCCTCAGTCCAGAAAGTCGCAGTCCTCGCCCCTCCACCTCCTCCCACCAACCTGCTCCCTTCCTGTTGGCAGCCCCACTGAAAGGTCCCCCGCCTTACTCTGTCCCTTCATTCCACCGACTCTCCTCTAGGCCCACGCTTAGCGCCGACCTTCCCGGTGGCCTGCCCGCCGTCAGCTGTCCCCAAGCCCACTTCTGTTCGCCCTCTGCACCTCCCCCTCTGCTCAGGGACCGGCCAGGGCTGCCTGCTACCCGTCCCATGGAGTCACCATCCCAGCCTGGCACCCAGCGTTTGCTTCCTGCCTCCCTGCTTCCAGGGGCCCCAGCTGGCCTGGGACACACCGTGCACACACACACGCCCTTGGGCCACAGCACACCATGCAGGCCTGTGTGGCCGCAGTTACCACCAGCTTGTACTTCTCTGAGGCCTGTGGGAAATGACTGGGATTGAAGCTCAGGTCGGGTCAGGTGCCGCTGTCCAGTCTGGTCTCTGATGACTGTCCCTCTGTCACCCTGGCCCTCTTCCCGGGCACCCAGCCTCTCCGCCACGGGTTACGGGTCCCAAGTTTGCTGGCAGGTGCAGAGGCCGCCATCTCCCGAGGCTCTGGGGCAGGCCTTGCCACCCTCCCCGCCCCCTACACTGAGGTCATTGGAAGGCCTAGTGCTGCAGCCTGGGTTCCCTGGAAAGGCCCCAGGAGGCCCTGCTAGGGCGGGACCCCGGGAAGTGCTCCGATTCCTGCCCCTTTTCACTGCGGCCTCTGGGGGGGCTCAGGCCCCCCGCCCCACCCCCAGCCACGGTCACAGCCACTCTCTCAGCATCGCGTCTGGTCTTGACACAGCACCTGGTGGAACCGGGGTCTTTGTGCTAAGCTGCCTCGGGTCCCTTGTGTACAGGGCGCAGATTAATGCACAAAGCGAGTGGAGGTTCCCTCAGGGCCTCCGGCTGCCGGGAGCCTTACCCTCAGGGCGTCCAGGACCCTGCCGTCGTAGTCGATCACCACCGTGTCTCCTTGCTCGCCCTTGAAGCCGGGGGGACCCTGGGGCAGGGCCAAGAGGGAAGCTTCAGGGAGGCGCTCCGTAGGTGGGGGGTGGTAGCCACCTGTGCATCTCATGTGGAGAACCCGGTCGCGGGGCCACACCTGGTCCCCGGCACTGGCTCAGCTGTGACCTGGAGGGCCCGGCATGGCCCGTCCTCAGGTCGGGTCCCCTGGCGCTCACTCTGCACTGGCACCCGGGCTCAGTGACGAAACACTGTGGGAGGCAGGCAGGGGCACATGCGGGGCAGGGGGTCTGGGGCCAGCTGAGGAACACAGCCCGGCAGCAACTGGCTCTCAGGGGAACTGAGGCCCCCTAAGGCCCCATCCCTGGATTCTGAAGGGCATGTGGGAAGCCTACACAGGTGAGTGCCTGGTGGCTGGGCCCCGCCCTCTGCCCGCCCCTGCCCACGTGGACACCTCTCTGCCCTGAGAGCAGTGAGCGCCCGGAGCACTTTGGTTCTGTCCTGCATCCAGGCTAGGCCTCGCTGCTGGCCGCCTCCAGGGTCACGAACTGCACAGTTTACACCGAATCCCCGCGCGTGGCGCTTCACCTAACCCCCGGCCCCTGCGGGCCGCAACCCGGGTTTTGGAGGAGGGGGCCAGACTCCGGGAGCACAAAGGGACGAGACGCCTGGAGGCCACGCGCCGAGGACAGAATCCGGGGTGTCAGCCCACAAGTGTGCTGACAGAGGCTGGCCGCGGACAGCCTGGGACCTGGGGGCCAGCTGCAGGGGCTGTGCCCCCAGTGACAGGAAGCACCTCGTGGGGCCGGGAGGAAGGCTGGGCCCCAGCAGGTGTCGCAGTAATGCCACGTGTGATAGTCTCAGGTCTGTGTTTGTATAGTGGGGAGAGGGCCTCACAGGGCAGACACCCGCCTGGGGTGGGGGCGGGCGGTCGGACCCCTGCTTTTATGCATCTGCATTCGAGCATTGTACCGAAAGCATGTATTATGAGACTGGAAATGGAAAAAAAAATCTCTAGGCCCTCGCTGGGTAGCTCAGTTGGTTAGAGCGTTGTCCTCATGCACCAAGGTTGTGGGTAGGATCCCCGGTCAGGGCACACACAAGAAGCAACCAATGATGCCTCGATAAGTGGAAAAACAAATCTATATTTCTCTCTCTCCAAAATCAATAAATTAAAAAAAAAAACAAAAATGAAAAAAATCACTAATGAATTCTTTTTAAAAAACACTCCCAGTTCCTGGAGCCTCATTGCTCCCCTGGGGCCTTTTGGACAGGACCTCATACGGGCACTGGCCCGGGCCTGTGGGGTGGCGGGGGCTGGGGGTGGCGGGGGCTGGGGGAGGCGGGGGCTGGGGGAGGCGGGGCCCGGGGGAGGCGGGGCCCGGGGGGAGGCAGCGGGGGTGGGGGTGGGGGTGGGGGTGGGGTGGGGGCGGGGGCGGGGGTGGGGAGGCGGCTTACCCGCAGCCCTGCAGCTCCATCGGCTCCTCGCTGGCCGGGCTCCCCCTGTGGAGACGCGGTTGCAGGCAGGTGCGCACAGACCGCCAAAGTTCCCCTGCCCCTCCAGTCCCCTCCTCCCCGAAGGCCGCGGGGGCCACTTGTGCGACTGGCACCCCAGTAACGAAGCTCTGGGCGGGGAGGGGCTGCGGAACCGTCCTCCGACCCCACATTGAGTAGCCGAGAGGCCACTGAGGCCCAGGAGCCCAAGGCTACATGGTGACTTAGTCTCATAGGTCACCCAGACCCAGCGCCCTCCCGTTGCCGCAGCCCAGCCTCTGATGGCTAGTCCAGCGAGACTGAGACCCCAGCCCCAAGGGCCCAGGCCCTCCAGGGACTCCCAGCTTCAAAAGTCAAGTTGGAGGTGAAACCACTTTGCTTCCCGGTGACAGGACACTGCTCGAATGGGGCTGCAGAAGCTGAAGCTGGAAGTCACCTTGGGCCCTGGGGCACCGTCCATGCCGCTGTCTCCCCGTGGCCCGACGCTCCCTGGCTCGCCCTGCAGCAGAGACGTCCCGTGAGAGCAGGCAGCTGGGGCGGGTGAGGGGCCCCCTGGGTCTGCTGGCTCCTACAGCCAGTCCCGGAGCCACCCGCTGAGGAGGGAACTCAGGGCCCTCCCCGCCTGCGTGCTGCGTCTCGGGTGCGGGTGCGGAGCTGGGGAAGCTCAGGGCTCAGAAGATGTTTTGGAGGCAGGCTGGCTGGGATTTGGTGGCTGTCCCGAGGGGCTGGGGAAGCCAGGATGATGCTGGTTCCTGACCTGGGGACAGGGCATGGTGTGGGACCACCTAACACCAGAGGACCAGCGAGGACAGACGGCCTGTGTGAGGTGCCAGGCTGGTTGACGAGGGGGCCCAGGCCTTCCCGCTGCCTCTCTGGCCTGCCCTGGGCGTCAGCCCACACCCCCTCCTGCCCGCCAAGTGCAAGGGCCGGAGGGGGCACTTCCCCTGGCGGACGGAGCCCTGGGAGGTAGGAGGCAGGAGGAGCTCAGGGGAGGCACAGGCCCTACCTTGGGTCCTGGAGGTCCAGGGAGCCCTGGCTGGCTTGGCGCCCCGTCGTCCCCCTGCAGAGAGAAGGACGGAGGCTGCAGCCCTCGGACCCGGACACCCTGGTGGGGCGCTCGGGCCACCCCCGTCTGGACTCCCTGGCACCAGCACTGGTCACACTGGGACAGGCAGCTTCTCCCTCCCCTCTTCATCTTCTAGGGCAGGGGTGGGGTCAGATCTGCTTCTGTCCCCTGCGCCCACTCGCCCTGAGCCAGCCCAGAACGAGCCTCATCAGGTGCGCGAGGAAGGAATGGACGGGCGGGCGGAGGAGAGGGAATCTGTCCTTCAGCCAACAATCATCTCGTGAGCACCGTCTGCGGGCCAGGCAGGGGAGGTCCCTGCTCGCTGGGTCAGCGGACGCTGAGGGCAAAGAAATACCCAGAGAAATGCATAGCACCACGCCAGGAAACAGGGGTGCCAGGCAGAGAACGCGGGGCGGGCGGATGGTGGGCTGGAGGGGGACCGGAGAGCGTGCCTCAGTGGGGACAGCCTCCCGGCGGAGGGAAGCTGTGCGGGGACCTGCGTGGGGAGGGGAGGCCCAGCCGCGGGAAGAGGCAGGGGAGGCCACTCTGGGCCCGTGCCCGGGCACGGGCGCACATCAGCCTCACCCAAGGCTGCGTGCCCGGGGCACAGCCCACCCCCCGCGTCTGCTTTGGTGGGTCTGGGGTGGGCGCCAGACATGCTTGTCTAACAAGCCCCCACAGATGCCGACATGCCGGTCTGGTGACCACACTTTAAGAACCTGGATCCTGAGGTGGGAACAAATTTGATGTGTTTGAGGAAGGGAAAGAATGAGTGAACGAGCGAATGAAGGAGGGAGACACCGGCCTCAGAGGCGCACCCACCGCGAGGACTCGGGTCTGCCAAGGGGCAGGACGCCTTCCCGGTGGGTGGCCGCACGTCTGCCCCGTGCCCCGCCGCTGCCTTCTCTCCCGCCACTTACCGCGCCCCTGCCGAGAAGACCCGCCACAGGCCCCCTCACCTTCTTTCCGGGAACGCCAGGCTCACCCTGAGGGGAGATGGTGGGAGCGCGAGAGAAAGGTCAGAGCCTTTGAAATGCCGGCTCCTCCGCAGAAGCGGCCCGTGCCCATGCCCCCCGCCCCCCCCGGCCCAGAGACCCCAGCCTCTCAGAGCGAGCACATGGGTGGTGGGCGGACAGTCTTGGACTCCACTCCCGACCCGGTCCCTGCCAAGCTGAACGATCTTGGGCAAGTCACTGTCCTCAAAAGCCTCTGAGGGTCACATGCGAGACAACAGGCGGCACGGGAAGACCCCCGGCTCGCGCAGGTGTCACTGAGTGGAGCTCCTTCCCCGCCCTTCCCTGCTGCTCAGTCCAGGCCTCCAGCTCCTTCAGGGAGGACGGGGCCTGCCTTCCCCCCGCCCTGCAGGCGGTGCTCGGGGACACGGGGAGGAGCGGACACCTGGAGAGGGCCTCAAAAGCTACCCTGCTTCCCCGGGCCGGGGTGGCTCAGCTGGTTGGAGCATTGATATTTCTCTCTCTCCCTCCCTTCCCTTCTCACTAAAAATCAATAAGCATGGCCTCGGGTGAGGATAAAATAAAAAATACAAGCTAACATGTTTATTATTTGATCCTCACAAGCCGATGTGAAGGTGAGGCGGGAAAGGTTTATCATGCCCCTATTCAACAGGTGAGTAAACCGAGGCCCAGAGAGATGCAGGAACTTGCCCAAGGTCCCAGAATTTGGTCTCCTAACCCTGGGCTGCAGGGGGTGGGGTGGGATGGGCTCACCTTGGACCCCGGGGGTCCCTTTGGGCCCTGGAACAAGAGAAGAGAAGGTGTTAACGGTGGTACTGCAGGTGGCTCCTGTGTGTCCTTATCGCCCTCCTCTTACAAAGGGTGACAACAGGGCGGGCACCGGGGGGACCACAGGACTGCGGCTGGAACTGGCCGTTCCAGGCGCCCTGCCTCGGACAGCTTCTCCTCAGCCCTCAGGCAGCGACAAGGGGGCGCGGGCGCAGTCCCAGGGATGCGGGGCTGTGAGCGTCCTGCAGGGGTTGGGGCTCCGGCCTCCCTCCCACCGCCGGAGGGGGCTGGAGCGCAGGTGTGTGCACACACACAGCCGCACACGCAGCCTGAGTGTGTGTGTGTGTGTGCGCGCGCGCATGGAAATGGGGTTTCCGGGCCTGGAACTGGGGTTCCGCCCGCTCAGGCCTCTGAAGTGCCCTGGATACTGACCAGCTCGCCGTCTTGTCCAGCCTCTCCTTTGGGGCCCTGGGGACACACAGAGGAGAGTGATGAGGAGACGCAGGGGCCGCAGGCTACCTGAGCCCCACAGGGCCCGCCGGGCCCTGGGCTGAGCTCCAAGCTTATTTGCTCATTTCGGCCTCGCCAAACCCTGTTCTCGCTTCACAGGCGGGAAGGCTGAGGCTCAGGGAGTGACATGCCCCCCGCTGCAGCCTAACGGGGCAAGGAATGGATGAGCCAAAGCCCAGCTGCCCTGAGAGGGGATCCCGGCGGCAGTGTGGTGGACACGCTGGCTTCGCAGCGGTGGGGAGGGACAAACTGGCATCCCTGGGTCAGGGAAAGGGTGGTTAGTGAGGTCGGGCCTCCGGGGTTTGGTGAGGACCATGGGAGGATGGCCGAGGCCAACTAGTTAGTACTGGGGAGGGTGGCCGAGGCTACCTAGTTAGTACTGGGGAGGGGGGAGAAAGGGAGAGAAAGAAAAAGGGGTTGATAAAGATCTGCGGAGAAAGAGCCTACACATGGGGTTCAGGGTCGGGGTCAGGGTCGAGGTCAGGGTCGGGGTCAGGGTTGAGGTCAGGGTTGGGGTCAGGATTTGATGAGATTGCAGCCAAGGTCAGAGCCAGGGTCCGCGGGTCTGTGTGGAATCGGAGTGGAGGGTAAGAGTGGGACTTGGAAGCGGTGTCAGAGTGGGTGGGGGCGCGAATTAGGGCCCAGAAAATCATCCATTGGGATGTGGGTCAGGATTTGGGAATGAGTCTGGGGTCAAGGTCTTAACTGGGTCTTGGGGCCCGGGTAGTTTTGGTTTAAGGGCTCGGTTGGGGGGCAGTTGGGGTTGGGTTTGAGTCTGAATTGGGGATAGAGCTGGGGGGTTGGCTTTGGGGTCAGGGTTTGGGGTCTGGTAGGTGTAGGGCCAGGTCCTGGGTGGCCCGGCTCTACGCCCTCTTACCGCTGGGCCTGGTGCTCCCCTGGGGCCATCTTTCCCAGTGTCCCCAGGAGGGCCCCGAGCCCCAGGGGGTCCCGGGGGTCCAGGGGGCCCTGGAGGCCCCGCAGCGCCATCTTGCCCTTGGTCCCCCTGAAAGAGACGAAGCCCGGCATGACTCTGAGGGCGAGGGGACGGGGCTCTGGCCGCTGGAGAACCAGACGGTCAGCTGGCGCCTTCCCCGTCCCAGCCCTCGGCAAGCTCAGAGGAAGGGGCTTTGTGCCTGGGCCTCTTGCCACTCTTGGTGGTCACACGAAGGGCAGGCTCTGTATCTCAGCGTAAGAGGCCAACAGGACCTTTTGCACACCAAGGGACATGCCATCTCCTCACCTACAGGGCTTAGGTGACAGACGACACGCGCTGGGTGTGGGAGAAGGCACCTGTGCCCACGCGGCCCCCTTCCTCCTGGAAAGGGGACTGCATGCCTCCTGGCTGGTCCCCTCCTGCTTCATTGGGTGACAGAGGCGCACTCTTGGCATTTGGCCCAGAGAAATGAAAACTCACGTTCGCACAAAATCCTGTGCACAGATGCTCACAGCAGCCTTCTCCGTAAAAGCCCCAAGCTGGAAACAACCCAACTGTCCTCCAGTGGTGAATGGTTAACCCCTGGGGCAAGTGTCTGGACGCATCTCAAGGCAGTGATGTGGGCGGGGGAGACGCCAATCTCAAAAGCTTACACACGGAGGGGTTGCATCGACACAACATCCTTGAAATGGGAGCATTAGGGAGAGCGGCACAGGTTAGTGGCTGCCAGGTGGGGGCGGGGAGGAGGTGACTGCAGCTATCACAGGGCTGTGAGAGGGGTCCTCGTGTAATGGTCGCACGAGGCCACGGCAGTGACAAGAAGGCGCAGGGCCAAATACGCACATGGGTAAGGTGGGTGAAGTCTGGCGGGGGTGGACTGTGTCCACTTCCCGGGTGGGAGATCGGCTGCGGTGCTGCAAAGGTCACTTTGGTGGGGAGGGGGAAGCTGGAGATGAGCACCATGTACTGCAGTTGCATGTGGATTTACGATTGTCTCAAAAAAAAAAAAAAAAAAAGGTGACAGCCGGCCACCGTCTCTCATGCAGCGTTAAACTCCCAATTCTCAGGTGGTGTTAGTACCGGGTCAGACCTCGGGCAGCCAGAGCCCACGCCGCGTGGCGCCCCCTGCGAGGAGGAAAGGCCAGAGTGCCACCGGCACTTCCTGCTGCCCCAGCGGTGCCCACCTGGCGCGGCACCGGGCACAGGAGTGGGGCGCGCCTGGCTCACAGTGCCAGCCGTGCCAAACTTCCTGTGACCAGGTTTTGCGTGGGGTGGGCCTGCTGTGCGCCCCGAGCTGATGGGCCAGAACACCCCGGGAGTGCTGTCTCCCCCACTCCTGGGACCCCCAGGCCAGGGTACTGCCCTTGGCCCATTTTACAGGGGGGGTGGCCAGCGTGAGAAAGGGCAGTCCTTCAACGAGGGTTACAGAGCTGGGAAAGGCCACTGAGGCACGCGGTGTCTTTCAGTCACTTTGTTCATACCGGGGCCCCGTGACATGAAGGAGCTCACCGCTCCAGCTGAGCGCACCTGACACCTAGCTCCTTCGTTTTCTCAATGGGGAACGGGACGGCAGCACTCAGTGTCCGCCACGCGGGGCTTATCCGTCTGGCTGGGCCAGGCCCTGGCCAAGGGGATGGAACTCCAGGCCAAAGTAAAGGACACAGTGCTTGAGCCCTGGCTGGTGTGGCACAGGGGACTGAGCACCGGCCTGTGAACCAAACGGTCAGTTCGATTCCCAGTCAGGGCACATGTCTGGGTTGTGGGCCAGGTCCCCAGTAGGGGGCGCTTGAGAGGCAACCACACATTGATGTTTCCTTCTTTCTCTGTCCCTTTCTCGCAAAACAAAACAAAACAAAACAAAAAACAGTGCTTGGTTAGGTCAGCCAGCCATGGGTGACGGGGCGGGGGACCATCCCAGTTTTATTTCACGCTGCAGCAGGAAGAACTGGAAGATACCCTGTCCCCTGTAGCTCTTGTTGCAGCTCAGGACCCAGGCTGGGAACCACAAGCCTGTGTTCCACTTATCTAGGCAGAAAATGGGGCCGGACCCCTGAGCAGGGCCTAGAGAGGTTCTCAGGCTCTTCCCCGAGTCCCTCTGGCAACGAGGCTGGCCCGCCGCCTCCCCCCGCCCCCGCCGGGATCGGGCGGCCGAGGGCTGACCCTGGGAGCGTGATGAGCTGAGGTACACGCCAAGCAAACGAGCAGGCCCAGGCACGCTGCTCGGCCAGTCTACCTTGAGGACACGGCGATTGGACAAGGGATGGTCTCTACTTAGAAAGCCCGGATGGAGCCGCGGGAAGACCATCTAGAGCAGACAGGTGTGCAGTCAGAAGGCCAGGGCTGTTTCTGGAGGCACAGCCACTCGCCCGCCCACACGGGCGCTTGTGGCGGGAGGGGCAGGCCACACTGTCCGCGGACGCTGCCGCGCTCCACGCGTGCCAGGGCCCTCTGCTGTGCGACCTCGTCACTCCCGATCGGGAGCCGGGGCCTGTTTCTCCCTGCCCTGCCCTTGGCCCTGGGTGAGCCCTGGGAGAGGGGTGACCCCCAGAAGGCAGGGGCAGCGATGCTGTGTCCGGTCTGCACGCGGCTCCTCACCGGCTGGCAGTGGGCTTCCTGCCTCCCGAGATGCTGCTCCCGGGAGCCAGCCCCTCCGCCAGCAGCCGCGTCGAGGCGGCCACAGGAGGCCGTCACCTTGGCCTGCGGCCCCGCTGCCCCTGCCCACAACAGGAGACCCGGTCACCCAGGGGGTCGTGGGGGATAGTGACGCCTTGTGTAAGTCACTGGAAGGGGCGGGTGGTTTGCCCAGGAAGAGGGTGGGGCTGGGGCAGTCCCGTCTGCGGGGAGCGGCATCGCTGCTGGGAAGAGCAGCTCCCACGTCCAGCAGAAGGCGAACGGCCACCTAACTCCACACCGAACACATGGCTGCCCTTCCTTTGACCACAGGGACATCTCGCCAGCTCTGCGTGGCCCTGCCCTGGGCCTCCTATCAGAGCCCCCCGCCCCGCCCCTGCCCCTGCCCACACAGCACAGCTGGGTGTCCTGGGAAATGCGGCCCAGCCAGCCTGCTCCCGGCTCCCCGCTCCAGGCTCACAGGGGCCTCATCTCACACATCAGGCTCAGAGTGGGGACTGCAGAGCTGGGGTGGGCCCAGCCCCGTCTCGGCTCTCAGCCCCCTCCCGGGTCCCCACAGACGGTGAGTGCCCTCCTCTCACCCACCCCTCGCTCCGACCTCAGCAGCCGCACTGCGGGTGACCCGCCGTTGGCTGCACTTTCCACCCCACGACCTTCTCAGAAACAACTGGGGCTTCGCCGCCCCCGCCCGCTCCGGCCTCCGCGGCTGCCCGCCCAGGCCGCGGCAGAGCTGGCGAGAGCCCCTTGAGCAACCCTCTGCCAAGACCTGCTTTTGTGGGTCCCATCCCTCCTGGGGTCCCCGCTCGGCTTCGGCTGTGCTGAGGAGACCCCGGGGCCCAGGGGGCACCGAGGGCCAAGGCAGCCTGTCGGAGGCTCCCTCCTCCCGTTCCCACGCGGGGCGCTGGGTGCCCACTTTTATGAGGGCAGAGAACCTTCACCTCAGCAGCTTGGGGCAGGGACTGTCATCCCAGTCACAGCTGGAGAAACTGCATCTCAGAGGGGAAAGTAACTTGCTCAGGGGCACTTGGGTGGCAAGTGGCAGAGCTGAGCTTGGGCTCAGGGCTTCTGACCCTGCAGCCTCCTCTCTTCCCAGGTGCCAGCTGCCTCAGGAAGGCCAGTCTCTGGCCTGGGACAGCGCGGGGCCCACGGTCTCTGACCCCCCATGGTGATGAGTGTCACGTGATGTCTGCCACGCAAGTTGCTGGGGCTGCCCCTGGGGCCGCCTCAGGGAGACTGCGCAGCAGGACAGGCTGTGGGGGGCGGGGGGGCAGGAGGCGGGCTCAGGGACCATCTCTGCGAGGGGCTGCAGGATGGGCATCATCAGAACGGACAACAAACCGTGCAGGCGGGCGAGGGGTCGAGCTCAGTTCTTACCCGGGGGCCGACGTCTCCTGGTGCTCCCTGGGGACAGAAACCAGGGGGACGTGTCACGGCCACGTTCATCGACCACGTCACGCCCACCGAGCTCTGCGCACAGAGCTTCCCATGCAAGGTCTCAGCCCTGCTGCCCAAAGTCACACGCAGGTGCTACTTTTTCTCCATGTCCAGTGAGGAAATGAAGGCACAGATCATCTGAATGATCTGTCCAGGGTCACACAGCAAGCACAGTCTCGGCGTGGAACCCGAGGTCTGTTACCTCTCGCTGGCCTAGCCCCAGACAAGGTACAGCAGGGACAAGCCGCTCCCACTGTGCCCTTTGGCCAGCCTGACCGGCAAAACAGTCAGGGATGATAATTACTTCATTACCATACTTTGTCGTGTATAATGCACGCTTCCCCCCCCAACTTTTGAGGAAAAAAATAAGGATGTGCATTGTACAGGGGTATAATAACCCCATGTATAATGCGCATGAAAAGTGGGGGCGCATTATACACAGCAAAATACCATGGTTGCTTTAAGTCTCCAAGTTTGGTGCCAAGACATCGATTTCTCTTAGGCTTCAAAGCCCCGTCTTGATCGCTTTTACAACTCGGTGGCATCAGCCAGAACCCGCAGGAGGGCAGTCACCACATGGGCCAACGTCACGAGGGCCTCCTCATCTACGGAAACCACTCAGACCGCCAGCCGCGGCAGTGTTCCCTTGGCTCTGTGAAGCTGGCTGACACTAAGAGGGAGAAACAGAGGCCTATGGTGCTGGGGGCTTCCCGAAAGCCACCTACCTGGTGGGAGAGGTGGAATGCAAACCTGAGGCTCAGCGCTGGTGGCCTGGGACACGGGCTCCCCAAAGAGGGAAGGGGCAGTGGCCCTGCCATGCCCAGCACTTCCCGGGAAGCGCCCCTCGGCCTTGCTACACCTGGGTCTGCCTGCCCCCTCGCTCCCCTGATCCTGCTACGGACACACGCCCCCCTCCCCATCCTGCTCCCTTACGAGGCACCCCGGGTCCCAGCCGCGTGAGCTGTGTGTGGCTCGACATTTAACAGCAAGTGCTGGGACGCCCTTCCCCTAAGAGCAGGGGCCTTGAGGATCCGTCTGTTTCCTTGGCGGCTGTGCCCTCCTCGCACAGCATGCCACCCACAGTCCCTGTCCGGGCCCCCGGCTGTCCTGCCGCCGCCCCCTTCACGTCGGTCGCTTTGGAAACCCGTCATCCTGGCAGGCGGCTGTGGGTTCTGTTGTACGCCAGAGTCAGGGGCACTGAGACCTACCGGCTGGGCGTTTTACACCATCAAATGTAGGTCTGTGACTGTTAGGGGAGGTAGGCACCCCTCGCCCCACTTTACAGATGGGGAAACTGAGGCCCCACGAGGGGATGTGACATGCCCATGGTCACGCTCTGGCACTGGGGCTTGGAGGCAGGTGTCTGGCATCCTCCCTCAGCCTCCGGCATCTGGATGGCCCCTAAGGTCACTTACCTTTTCCCCTTTGGGGCCCGGGAGTCCCTGGAGAAGGAAGGCGGAGAAGGAAGGAGAGTGAGTGAGGAGGCGCAGGCCGGCATCCCGCTGGCTTCCCTGGGCCGTGTGGCAGAGGAGCGGTGTGGCTGAGCGGGGCTGCAGGCGGCCGGGCGAGCGGGCAGCACACGGCCACCAGCCCTTGCGGAGGCTGCTCGCGCTGAGCCCAGGGCAGCGCCACACCTCCGTCCTCAGCGTGCGGGACACAGGGGACCTAGGGGCTCCCTGGCATCCTCTTTGGACAGAAGCACCTATGCTGGTCACTGTCCCCTGAGAGCAGGGCCCTCTCTCCTGGGCACCTGCTGTGCTGGGTGCCGGTCAGGAGGCCGCTGCTCCTGGAGTCTGGGGTGTGTGAGGGCGGGGGGCTCCCTGCGGGCCACAGTGGCTGCCATCCCTCTCTGCCCACAGGGACATGGTTTTCTTTCAGTTCTGCCGAGTTACCAGGCCTTCTGGGGAAGCGGGCCAAGCCCCAAGGCCCGCTGTGGAGCTCGCGTCCCTGGCGCGGGGCGGGCACTCTCAGTAAAGACTGACCCGCGCATCCCCCCGGACCATCCACTTCCCCTTCAGCCCCCAGAGCGTGTGCTGGCTCTTTTACTCAGCAGCTCGGCCACCCAGCCCTCTCCTCCACTCTTTAATTACACGCACATCATGAACCAACTCTTCAGCCATTTGTGCATTCACTCACTCACTTACTTGTCAATCCAACTATCGTGCACCGTATTTTGCTGTGTATAATGCATACCCACATTTTGGGCCCAAATTTTCACGAAAAAATCTTTTGTTTTAATTTTTTAATGCAATTTTTTATTTATTTACATCTAGAAACAAGGCAGATATCGTATTCCAGGGTATTATTTTGCATATGGATATCATTATTCCTTTTCAGAGTTACATTTTTAATGCATAAGCATAAATAAAAGAATTGAAAACATTTATATAGATATGGAATTAGTACTACCCATGTATAATGTACACCCTTATTTTTCCTTTAAAAATTTGGGCAAAAAAGTATGCATTGTACACTGCGAAATACAGTATTTATTCACACACTAGTTCAGCTATTCTTCCACGCATCCAACTGTTTACACAATTATTGATTCCTTATTTTCTCTGACTGTCCTTCCTCCCTTCCTTCCTTCCTGCCTGCCTGCCTTCCATTATCCATATATCCATCCATCCATCCATCCATTTAATCATGCCGTCTCCTGTGCATCTTATTCAGTCTGTTGAGGACGCCCGTGGACCAGAGGCTCCTGATCCAGGTGTTGAGAGCCCCTCAGTCCGCTGCCCACCCTTAAAGCGATGAGGCTGTCTGGGGCGCTCTGTGCCTGGGGCCTGCTGGGAGGGGCTTGCATGGTGTAAGGGCTGGCTGGGCGCCAGGGGCAGTGCTGCCCGCAGCCTCCGCACGCCCAGCATCCTTGGGGCTCCCGGATGGGGAGAAGCCTCAGGCTTGGGAGGTGAGGAGGCCTCCCCAAGGTCGCGCAGTCAGCAGGTTGTGGAGCCGGGTTTGCACTTAAGTCTGATACTCAAACGGCTTCTCTTTGAGCTGAGCCAAGTTCTCAGTGGATCTTTCCCTCTGGCGCCCCCTGGCCACCCTCGACCGCACAGTGACAGCCCCATCCCGGGACCACCTAGAGCTGCCCTATCATCACTTACGGGCTTTCCATCCAGACCCAGCGGCCCCTGGAAAAAGAGAGAGAGCAGAGGTTACATATGGGAAAGGCATTTCCTCTGGCGTATGACCTAGAGGCACTACTGAGTGACAAGAGACCAAAGCCCGAGCCGAGCCTATGGCTTGGGAATGTTTCACGCAGATTCGGTGTGGGCGCATCTGGGTGGTGTTTACTGCCCAGAGTCCCTCCTCAGACAACAGGGCCCCAGTTCTTTTCCAAAGCCATCCCCCTCCGCCTGTGGGGCTTGGGCACATGGCCACGTTCCCTCAGCTGGGTGAGGTTCGGGGTGAGGAGCCGGCCTGGGACTTGGCGAGGTGGTGCTTTGGGGCTTTTTCACCTGATGGAACTAAGCCGGGAGCTCCTGCGGCACCAGGTGGCTTGAGAAAGAGGGAGCAGCAGAGAGGAAAGCAGAGCCGAGAAAGAGCTAGCGAGGCGGGCTAAGAAGGGCCTGAGGCTGAAACTGCCTTCACTGCAAATACGTTTTTCCTTAAGGCAGCTTGACTGAGTTTCTGTCATTTGTGATTTGTTAGGGACTGAATGTTCATGTCCCCTAAGCCCCACTGTGGCAGTGTTGGGAGGTTGGGCCTCAGGGAAGTGATTAGGTCAGGAGGGTGGAGCCCTCATGAGTGGGTCAGCGCCCTTAGAGAAGGGACCCCAGAGAGCTCTGTTCTGCCATGTGGGGACACAGGGAGAAGCCGGTTTCCTGCCATCTGGAAGAGAGCCGTCACCAGCTGTGACCTTGCTGGTCTTGACCTAGCCTCCGGGACTGTGAAAAATAAATTTCTGTTGTTCATAAGCCTCCCAGGCCGTGGGGCTTGGTTCCGGCAGCCTGGACGGGCTGAGACATGCCTGGACGGGCCCCGAGGGCTCCTTCAGCTCCCCGCACGGCTTTGGCCTTCACAGGCAAGAATCGAGGCTGCGGGAAGCCAGAACACACAGGGCGAGTCCTGGGAGCAGGGCACCCCGCGGGCCTGGGGCTCTATGGCGTCTGCGGAGCACAGGTGACCACGGTGCGGCAGCGCCCCTGGCCCTCATCCCACCTAACACAGCCTCAAGGAGCTCCGCCTCCACGTGGGCTGTAGAAGGATAGTATGGGAAGAGCGGTGTTGCGGATCCGGCCCGCCTGCTCTCCGCAGACCCCTGGCCTCCTCCCGCCGGCCGCCATCCTCTCATCCCCACACACACTTCACCCTTGGCCCCAGCAAACGACCTAGGCAGCTGCATTCTGCCGGCCCGCGGGGCACCCTGCCCGCTTCTGTGTGCCCTCTCGGCTCAGTTACCTCCTCTCCCATGAAGAGGCTTCTCCACTTCCCAGAGTCCCTGCAGCCGGCACACAGCCTGGCTGTCCCACATGCCACACATGTTGTCAGCCTGTGGTCTGCACACAGTCCTCCAGCAGATGCAGGAAAAGAGTCCGATCCCCACGTGCCCAGTGTTCAGACCGGCCTGGCATGGAGCGTGTGCTGACTGACCGCTGTGTGCCGGGGCAAACCACAGAGCGGCGGCCGTATCCACGCGCGCGCAGGGCAGCGTGGAGAGCAGGGGCAGGCTGGCGAGGGGCTGTGCCGGTTCCAGGCAGAGGGAGGGCTGTCCGGCTTTGGGGGGCCTGGAGAGGATTAGGCAGCGCTGCCCTGAGAAAGTAATGTTTGAACATAGCAAGTATGTGCGTGTGTGTGCCTCTGTGTGAGGCGTGTGGGCAGAGAGCGTGACAAAGCGGAGGCAGGGAGGAGAGAGCCTGCTGGGGCCCTGTGTCCCAACCTCCCGGGCTCAGCCATGCCACCCTCTGTGTGTCCAGTGGCTGTGGCTGCGCTACTGGCCCAGCACTGGGAGCCGCGGTAGCCAGAGCCAGGCTCTGCCGTCTGGTGGCCCTGTGCCCTGGTCCCCCAAGCTCCCTGCCTCATTCCCCATCTGCTCCTCTGCCTGCCGTGCCCTTCCCTGTATCCTGCACCTCGTGAGAGGGACTTGTCCCCAAGACACTCTGCTGTCCCAGGGGACCTTCCTGGTCTTGGAAGAGCTGGTCTCTCCTTCCTTGGGCCTGGGCACAGCCAGGGAGTTGGCCACCACCCGCTGGACCTCCAGGGTGCCCCCCCATGGCCCCCTCAGCAGCCATCTGACCTGCAATGATTCCCAGACCTGAGAGCGCCCTGCCCCGCCCCCCCCCCCCCCCGGCTTGGGGCACTCACACTGCGGCCTCAGTCCAGACAGGACACGGGGCAGATCTGAAAACTGGTCCAGTGAGTGCTTCCGGCCCCCAGCCTCACCGTGGGGAAAGAGTGCGGATGGGGGTTGATGGCCTGGGGACAGCTGGGGACCCCGGGGAGCGGAGTGGCCCATTCCAAAGTCTTGGGGGCCCAGGCCTGGGGCTCCTGGTAAGTCCCTGCCACAGTTGGGCTCCCGTCATGGGAGGCTCACCAGCTGGCCGGTGTCCTCTTGGGGGGTCCTGGCTGTTCTGACCCTGGAGTCACAAGCCAGAGCCGCACCCCTGCAGCAGCAGCTGCCTGCTAGAGCGCGGCCCCGCCCCTCCTCTGCCCCAGGCCCCGCTGGCCAGGCCTCTTCAGGGCCCCACCGGCCCCCAGCGGCGCCTCTGCCCTGGGCCCCTCCCTCAGGCCCGGCCTTCTGGCTGCCACAGTGCACGTGGGGCCCAGTCCCACCCTGGGCCTGTTAGTGGCCCCCTCGCCTGGTCTTAAGCAGCCTTGCCTTACAGAGCAGGACACTGAGGCCCAGTGCAGGGACGGCCACACAGCCTGTAGCAGGCCAGGGCTGGAGGTGGACGGGGCTTCAGTCCTGCGTCCTCTCCGCATGGAAGGCCCTTCGGTGGCCTCCCCGGCATCCAGCCACTCCCTCCGCTCCAGCCTGCCCTGCTCCATCCCACCGCCCCCTGGGCAGCACCTGCCCAGGTGCCCCAGATGCCCTGACTAGTGTGGCAGCCACCGCAGGCTCTGGGTGCACCTGTAAGTCCTGCTGAACTGGGACCAAATGTGGCTCGAACTTCGCTCCTCTATAAATCCGCATGGAATGAAAAAGGGACTAAGGTACAGCTTGAAGCTCACTAAGGCTCTTTCCTCTTCATGTGACAGGAGGGAAGACATAACGGGCCTCACAGCTGTCACCCTGTCACTCCCAGGAGCCGGCCTCAGGGCACCCTGATAAAGCCTAGGGGAGAGGGCACCCTGCCCCTGGGGACCACAGCGGGGAGGCCCTCCATGGGCTCTCCTCGCTGCAGGTTGGCCGAGCCCTGCCCGACCCTTCGTGCGCCTGCCCTCCCAGCAGCCAGAGGCAGGCGCCATGGCCCATCCATGACACAGAGCAGCCATGACACAGAGAGGCTCAGCGGGGGTCCAAGGGCCAGACTTGGCTCCACTCTCCATGCACTGCTCTCTCCCTGCAGCACAGGGTTGTGGGGGTGACAGATGGCCATCCTGGGGTCCGGGGCTGGGTGCGGGCGGCGGACAGAGCCTCACAGGCCTTGTCTTCCCTGGGGATTCCTGGCCCGTCTGTCTGCCCCACAGAGCAGGCCCTGCCAGGCAGGGCCCTCTGACCCTGCTTCCACCCCGACTCTCTCCAGAGAGTGCGCAGGGGCAGGCGGCCGCGCTTGCTGCGAGGCCCTGGGAGAGCCGGTCACCAGCTGAGCCTCGCCGTCCTCTCCGTCCATCCCCCGGCAGGGACCGCCCGCTCCAGCTTCTCTCCGGTTTCCGCCCACACTCTGTCACGGCCATGGGTTCCCGCCAACTTTGGAATTTGGAAAAGGCTGCCCTAGTGGCCTCGCTGGGGCCTCTGGCGCCCAGCACCGCGCTGTTTGCCGGGCCCAGGCTGCGCTCCACCCCGCGGCGCAGCACCCTGGGTCCCGCGGCAGAGCCCCTTTGTGCTCCTCCAGGCCCCGCTCCGACGGCCCCCCTTTGGGGAGTATCCCCAGGGGGAAGCAGCATCTACCTGGCCTGTTTGCTGCGGAGCTGGGTCCCCACCCTTCCAGGGCAAAGTGCTCTGGCTGAGCTTAACGGGGGACAAGGGGCCATGGGAGGAGGCAGGCTCTGGATCCGGGCTCGCCTGTGACCCAGGCCTGGCTTTCCCACCTGCCGCGGGGCCTCATCCTCCCTAACAGGGAGACGGTCCCCCTTCCTTGCTGACCCATGCGCGTGTGGGTGATGATGGGAAGGGGCTTTGTGTACCAAGTGACACAGACTTGGCGGCCCTTCCCGCAGCTACCCCACGGGCCGCCTTTCCCAAACTGCTGTGCTGTGGAACACTGCTCTGAAGAGTGTTAACAGGCTGGCCTGGGGAAGGTGATTCCATGGTCAAGTTAGTTTGGGAAAACAGTGGGTTATCGCCTGTGGAATGGGTTTCTCTCCTGCGAGAGTCTCCGAGCCGCCACCCTGCCCCTGGTCTCTGGGAGGGCAGCGTTCCCGGCCTCGCTGGGCCCTTGTCCCAGGCCCTGGCCGGGCCTCAGCCTCGCAGCTGCGGGGCGCGGCGCGCCCCATTTGCCAGCCAGGCGTTGCCGCCGGTGCTCAGGAGGAGGAGGAGCGCCCCAGGGAAGCCCGGGGGCTGGCCCCGGGCGGGCCGGCCCAAGGCAGGGCTGGGTCCAGGCTGAGCGTCCCGGCTGGTGACAAGCTGGTTAGGGGCAGAACGGCGCGTGTGAAGGAGCGCAGACCCTGCCTGGGTGGGGACAGGCCCTTGGTGGTAGGGGCCCTACTCCGGCATGGGAGCCCTCCCCTGCCCCAGACACGGGGCCCACCCCCGGGTGCCCCGCGCTCTCCCTACACCTCCCGCCGGAGGCAGTCCCCGGGGAAGGCAGGGCTTCGGCCCCGCCTGCGGCCAGACCCTCCCAGCCTCAGCTCCCACGCGGGGCCTGCGCGCGCGAGGCCTGCGGGCGCTCCTTCCCCCTCTGATCAAAGCCCGGGAATTAGTCACCAGGGGTTTTCAGCCCCAAACCTCGCAGCTGTTTGCAAGCCTGGTTCTGCTGCGCTTCCCTCCGTCCCCGAGCGGGTCCGCGGAGCCCCAGGCTGGTTCCGGCGA